ACCAGGGACACTGTTCTGTGGACTCAGATCGTTGTCGAAGGCTGCAGAGGTAGGAGAAATTGAAGATGATGCAGCATCATTAATTAAGAGACGTGAAGGAAGATTAGAAGGTAATGATGGAGGAGGAGGATAGCAGTCAGAAGAAACTTGGGTGCTGACAGAGTTGTGAGGGCGGTTGACACTTCCCGGCTGCCCACACCGTGGAAGGCTATTTCTTCTTAAGGTACCTGAAAGAGATTTGTGTGACCGCAGAGCCCATCGGACATCTGCTTGAGGCCTGTCACACCCAGCCTTTTGAGTATGATTATTTTGAATTTTTGTATTTTTGGGGCCGGATGAGCGAAAGGAAACGACAAGTGAACCAACACCGCCGGCCCGGCAGACCGTGGGGCGTGGTGGAGTGTGTTATTTTTGGGGCCGACCTTTTCTAACCCCCCCTTCCACTGAGAAGGCAGCATCAGCTTGGCACTGCTGGTCATCCAAGGGAAACACCTTACTGCTGTCACACCCCATCCAGCTAGCAGCAGTACGACTTCGCCCTCAGACCCCCATCATAGTATAGCAATTTACACTATGACGGTAACTGCTTTTCGTCTAACCACTACCCAACAGACCTTTCTGGTATGGTAGGACCTCGAGGGAACAAGCGTTCCACCAGCATAGCTCGTTGGGTCATTGTGATATGCAAGCCCGACCACCACGTCAAGGTAGCAGCTATCAGTCGGGACTGGAAACCTGGTGGTCTCTGGTTCGAATCACACCACATTCCAGATTCTCATTCATAAATCTAACATCATATGCTGAGTTCACGCATTTATGTCGTTGTAAGGCTCCAGTTTTGTGTGAAACATTGTTATCGATCTGAACATTTTTAACTTGGCATTCTCACACCACTTTACAGTATGACAAGTAGTGTAATTTCTGCCCCCATTGTAATGCAATTCTCTAATTGGTTGACTTTTATGCTTATATGCGAATTTCTCCAATTGCGGACAAGGTCATACTGTTTGTGCAATCATGTGTTTTGGACTGATTGATTATTATACTCTCGGAGTAATAAACTCTCCCATCATATATATATATATATATATATATATATATATATATATATATATATATATATATGTTATCTATTTATGTTCATATACAGATCACCTTCCAATTCGCCCTTATCAGTTACTCTAGAAGACGGACTATTTTCAGTTCTTTGTACCGAAACACGTGATGTAATTACGACAAACAGAGTATGGCTAAGGAAGTGTAATAAAAATGGATAGAAATACGCGTTATCGATTTGAAATATGATTTCTTTGTTCATTTCTTTGTTTATCGTTTTTTCATGCACTTATATGTTGGTTTTTCAGTTATTTTTCCATCCTTTTATCTCCTAATTACCCCATGGTAAGAAGGTTGCCTGGAATGTTTGATTTACTTCAAAAAGGTTTTTTTCTCTGGTTTTAAATACATCACAAGTGTATTCAAACGGTTATTTGAGTTGTAAGTTGTGAAGATGATTTTCTGTAGTACTTCCAAATTGTTCATTTCAATATTTTAAATATCCCCGTAGATCGTAGTAATGATGGATAGTGGCTAACAGTGGAATCCACGATGCGCATTTCCCCATAGATTATTCTGAACAAGAATAATTTGAGCGAACAATTGTTTTCAATAACTTCTTCAGGCTCTATAGTTATAAATCCATGAGAATAAGTGAAATATAATAGCGAAAATAAGGCGTGATGTACAACTTTTATTACATTGAAACAGTTATGGGTGAATGGAGATCAAACCGAATGGAATGATGGAATTGTTATTAGTCTAGTGTGTTGTGCAAAATCTATAGATAATTTCAAGTTGTTATTTATTCATCGTAGACTGACATTAGTTGGAGGAACAAAGGAAACCTGGGAGCACTGGACAGCTGTTTCGTCCTAGTATGGGACTCCTTAGCAGTGCGCACCCACGACCCCACCAGCAGAGATCGAACCCGCGACCTTCAGGTTCGGCGGCCAGCGCGTTACCACTGAGTCACTGGGTCAGAATCCAATGCTCCATATTTCCAACTTCTGTTAGCTCACGATATATAGCGCAACCGCCACCCAATGTCATCGCTGAGTATTTGTCCTCATGGCCATCTGGCTTTGACTCCACCGGTCACGACTTGTAATTGGAACTTCGGGAATACTTCTCGAAACTAGTCACCAATGAGCACCAGTTCAATTTAATTTTGAGGGAGTTGTGGAGATTTGGAATTATTTCAAGTTGTTATTCATCGTAGACTGACATTATCGATAATTATTCACCTATATACATTTATTGGGGCGTGATTGTGTGCGTTTGTTTACTAAGAATCAAATAATAATTATGTAGTGATGACTTATATTCAAGTGGGATGAAAAACATGTGAATGCTATAACTAAATAGAAAATAACAAATGTGAAGTGTTATGTCACGGTTGAAGATGAATAAAGAAGGGCGTAAAACTAATGACATAAGAAAGTGAATGGCTATCAATGTAATGACAATACCGAAGAAAGGGATGGGAGGTTAAAATCTGCAATCTGAGGTAGTTCATGAAGAATATGTCGACCCTGTTGTGGTCCAAGGTACACAAAGTGAACGTACATATTTCTTTTGAACACAGGTCCGATTTTCTTGCTTTGATCCCCATGGCTTGGGCTATGAATAAGATGCGAAGTCGTGCACCTTTAGAAAGATTGAAATGGGCACAGTGTATCACAGAAAACGCGTGGTCCACCTTAATCTGATGTCTGATACCTACTAAATGTGACAGGATTGCACTGTTGATGCTCTTTGTCATTCCTTACCCTGACCAAGATGGTACATGTTCATAAGCGCGCGTGGATACAGCCCTCTGAGTACTGCCTACGTAACTAGCTCCACAGGAGCAGTTGAACTCATAAATGCACATTGAAGTGGCCATCACAGGTAAACTATCCTTCGTTCTCTGTCATTAATGGTTTGGTTGCGAAGCTGACAAAAAGTCTCTCTGTATTGAGTGTCTTTTCGACGGACCGATTTGATCGATGTGTTGAGATATCCGAGGCAATATCACCTTTGAAACTTAGTCTAAGATAAATAGGCGTCTTAGCAACATTGTCTTTCTTTATCTTCTCTCTAGGTCTCGACATGTGTTTATTTATGAAGCTTAGCGGATAACCGTTTTGCTGCAATGCTATCTTCAGCTTATTCGAGTGGAATAATTTTCACGACTTTTGACTTTGTCAGTTGAGGCAGCGACTAATGAATGCCGTAACAATACTGAAAGTGTTGAATAATAACAAGGAGAAGTGACTTGGTCGTAAATTCACAAACTCTACACAATGTCCGTGAGCAACGAAGGCTAAAATAATGAAGGTGGTAGTAGCGATAGCAGTTGTAGATGTTTATCTAAACTGATTAACGAGACAGGAATAAAACTGTCAGCAATTAGTTAGAATGATGACGTGAAATTTGGTTTAACGATGAGATCTCTGGAGATATGACTAGAGAGATGGTTAAGGGAACAGTTTCACTGGTCTCCAGTTACTTTTTGACTGCCCGCTATGCCATCACAACTTGAATGAAGTAATGAGCTGGGGTCTGCAAATCTTTCTGAAGATGAGTAGACTTTAAATGATAGAAAACATTGAGTACAGTTGGACTAGCGGCAGTGGTATTTAAGGATACTCACCTAGAGTCATTGATTGAACTGAAGTATCAGCTGGGCTATGGTTATCAGAATTATCTCATACAAGTAGTATCAATCTCCGGTTGTTTCACTCTTCAAATAAAAGCATAGAGGGAAGCAAGTTGATGTGTCTGGACTTCTAGTGCCTATAGTCTTCTGAAGACTGAATGGACTTGATAACAGAAGGCCAAGGGAAAACAGGGAGGTTTCAAATCTGATTGAGCATGTATCAATTAGATTTTATTGTTCCACTGAATTCTCGGACTCTGAGCAAACAATATGAGGATATTTGAAATATGTATCTTATCATCGACATGTAAAGTACTGTTTCGGGAATGATGTAAGCTGATAATTGATCTCATTTTAGACAGTAAAATGACAGAGTGCGCTGAAGACTTCACTCGTAGAAAATCTGACAAACCCTTTTTGGTTCATAGCCAGTGAAATTTTAGCACGATTACAAAAGGACCAATTGATGGTTGCCACTTGTGGTACTGGTGAGATATCAAAATGCTCACTAATTTTGGAGTGTGCTGCTCAACAATTTACTTCGTCTCACTTTACTGTGATGGAGCGTTACTGCTAAAGATGATGTATGTGAGAAGACTCTAGGTATTTGACCATGGTTGCCTTCACATACGTGTTAGGCGACTAACACATGGGAAACATGGCGATTTAGTGTAGAGCCTTAGGTTGAATTTAGGTGGTTAACCTTCATCAATTAGATAGCTGGTTCACGTTTTATGTACGGCAAGTCACTGGTCAGTCTAATGAGATAAGGATAGTGTAGTAGGATTAAATTGCAGAAAGGCTTGGTGACAACCTCAATCGGAAGTCGCACTTATCCACGGTTTCTCCAAATTGTTGGTCTGAAATATACAGTGCATGGCTCTTAGCTTGAATTAATGCATAAAAAACCTGTGGCTTGAAAATCTTAGTGATATACCATATGGTAGATATCAACTGTATTCATACATTCAGTCCTTATCTTAGTTGAAATATTTATATCAAATGTCACGATTTGCTGTATCTCTTTTTTTCTCATGGTTTTCTGTGAATTGGTTTTATAAAATTTGTTTCTTTGCTTTCGTCGGTGTCTTGATATGATAAGATGTGGCAACTTGAATAGTCATACAGGTCTTATGCAGATAATAACTGACAATTCACCGTGGGAAAAGAAAGTGGAATTTTTCATTAGGCTTCTTATCATGATTCTAACTTGAACCTACCTATTATTTTATGAGAATTCTATACAAACTTTTCTCCTCCAGCTATAATCCAAGAGATATATGACCTTACATTGAAAAGAATGGTTGAAAATGAAAGATTTTACACTGAATTCTCGACTCAGTTATTTTCACTAAACAACCGCATGCATTTATTCAACTCACTTGAAGGTATAACAACAGATCATTTTCTTATGACAATGGAAGACAACAGGTCAGAAATAACCCACAGAAAATCATGTTTAACCCACATATTCTTGATTCATACTGAATCTTATCATTTGAATTATTTTAAAGAGGTGAGTAAAGCTTGAAATTTATGTGGTGTTAACTTGTGTTTATTGAATCTATCCTAATTCCAAGGAACAGGACAGAAATAATCGAAGTCGAAAAACTATGTTTTGATTCAAGAGACACCTGGTTATTCGTATGTAACATTATTGTCAAACTCAAGCCCAGCTGTTGACATCCAAGAATAAATTTTAGTTAGATACGTGCAAAACTATAGATGGTTAAATTACGACTACAAGGTAGCATTTCTTCATCTTTACCCAAGTGAAAGCATATAACTGAGAAGTGCATTCTATTTAAGGTTTCGTCACATGATCTGAGACAGATAAAATTGACATAAAATCTTTCACAGAAGTGCATCTATTTCAGTTACCATACCTCACACCAACGCGTAAACAACAACGCAGACAAAAGTGAATTAGTGGAGAAAGAAATCGGAGTGAGTGAGAGAGAGAGAGAGAGAGAATGTTCAAAGTTTAGAAGACGTGTAAGAGTGAATACATCTACGCCAATGTGACCGGTTTTCAGTTATGTCGCCAAGAATCTACAACCATTGGTTCCTATCATCATCTGGATGACGTGAAACAGGTAGTCCGCACCTCCCTAAATGTTTGAGACCGATCGTCGGAGACTTCATGGACTGACATCACGTCGTGACATAGTCACCATTAGCCTTGTTACAACCCTATTCCACTTCGGCTGACACCACACATCGAGTCAGGTGATTGCTTGACATACACAGCGCATGTCTACGCCGCTTCAGTCAGTCGATGAAGGTTCACAAGCTCATCGATTGACTTGCTTTCCATGTGTAGTTACTGTACGCCTGACCTCGATATTACTCACACAGTGATTCCAACATATGCGGGCGATGCTGCGATGAAACCTGTTATGTCTTCCTATGTTCCACCTTCAATAGTCACATCTTACATGTTACAGCAATGCGATGGGGCAGAGCGAACTTCGTGCAGCATACTCGTCCTTTGATATGCAGTCGGATGTTTGACCAGAGTCAGAGATGGCGTAAATTGACGAATGCCAACCGGGTCTTTTGTGTTCCAGATGAGATTTCGTTAGCCACCAACTCGATTGGGTTGATGGAATTGTTGAAGTGAGTGAATTTGTCAATGCACTCCACTACTTCACTTCCCATGGTTAAACTGGCATTGAGTGGAGACAGGCAATGAAGTGTCATCTTGCCGTTGATATGTGCGAAACGCATTTCGAACATACTCAGATATCTGCTGAAGGAATTTAGAAGAGTCTGTGTTTTGTCAGCGTCTTCATGTAGCAGGACAATGTTGTCTTCGTACTCTAAGTCAACGAGATGCTGTCCTGGAATTTGAACGAAGATAAAGACTTTCGTGTTTCTTGGTCAACATCACTGGTTGTTGTTACTTAGGAGGACGGCTGTCCATAACCATTCACGGGTCTGCATGAATTCTACTGGAGAGTTTCCACTGGCTTAATATGCTTTTTAACAGAAGCTCACATTCGAGAAACTAAATGGTTTTTTGGCATTGAATAAGTTCTAAATTTTAGTGCATATCTGATTCGTTAATACGTTTGGTTATGTCTATAGGATTTTGTTCTGATTTGTTGACTTTCAGGGTGAGTTATCTCTCTACATTTCCAAGCATTAGTTCGAATATATGACCTTAACATTTCATATAATAGACAGTTATGCTTATTCTGAAAATTTTTTTGATTTTATTTTCTGTTTCTTTCTTGAAGAAATAAGCAGGGCGATCGATGCATATCGCTTGCCTTGTGGATTAGCTGTTAATTTATTTGAATGTCTTTATCAGAATATTTCGCTTTCAAGTTTCCTACTGGGTTTTAAACTATCGTATAAAACACTATAAAGCCAAATAAGAAAACATTTGAGCGTATCATGACCAACAATAGACTGGATGGTTTGGAAAAACTTGGTCATCTAGTTAGTATGATTCATCATATAAGGTGTATTTTATTTGTGTATCGCAATGTAGTATATTAGAACAAATAATAAGATATGCAAAATTTTGTATTATTTCTCAAGATTTCGATCTTGCTAGGAAGATCATTTTCAAGATTACGAATCTGATATTAAGCAGGAGTCACTTTGAATCCCAACCTAGCAATTCTAAAATGATTATTTGAGTTTCTTTATTCCTCAAGAAACTGCCTATCTGGTTGGTATACTGAAACTTGATCAGTTATTTTAGCAGTTGCTAGAGTGGCCTTTAAAGTCACTCTTAGGTTTTCTGTTTAATATTCAGGTTTGGTACAGAAAGTGACCAATGTGATCATCCAATTAGTTACAGAACAAAGATCAGTGCAATGAAGCTGAGTGAAGTTGCGAATCGGTCAGAAAGGCTTATTCCAGTTGTGAAAGTAAGGTAGAACGAATACATGGTGGTGAAATTTAGTTCCACTATAAAATGTTATCTGTTCTTATATACTACGCTGGGATTATGGAAGTAAAATACAACTTATACGGTGAAGAAAGTATTTATTCAGATCATCTGTTTTACAAAGGCTTGATGACTTTAAGTGTACTGCCTTCGGAACGAGGTTTACTCAGGACGAGCGGAAATGGTGGGTTCATTCTTTTATCCATTTTTATATACAAATGGAGTAACTGTAAAGGCCATCTTACCGATGACCGGAGTTATCAACTAGAGTTGTGTATATAAGAGAAAGACTATTTTTCTAGTTGAAATAACGAAACCTAATTTATTTCACTTGTTGCTAGGGTGGCCTTTAAAGTAACTCGACAACTTGATAAATCAAGTGCTTGGTTAAATTTTGCGGCTCAAGGTTGACTTTAAAGGATATTGATCATTTGAAGCTGACTTATTTTGAAAGCGCAGGCCTACCTACGTTCTCATGTAACTTTTAGGAAAAACTAGCCTTCACATCAAACACTTGTCAGGTGATTGGTTATTTTAGTTTAAAAGGTCCTTTAACGTTCCTATATTCAACATGGATGGACGACTTCATAGCTGTGGCAGCAGTTGTTAAGGTTGCCATTTAAGATTACTTTAACCGATAGCAAAAAGTCAAAGGATATCACATTCTACCACGTACAGTCAGAAGGCACCCACTGGAAGGTGAAGTAGTGATTTTGTCATAAAACATAGGTTAATAGTCAAGCTAACACTGAAAGCCTATGCTGAATTCATGCAAACAAATAGTAATATGGAATCTTGATTCATGGAATAAACAAAAAACCAATCTTCAAGTTCGTAAACGGTTTTGATACTTTTTTGGTGTTGTGTTCTCTGAGCTTAATTATTTGATCGTGGAGCTTTAGTTGTCTTTCTAGGAAACATCATCAGCACAAACTTCAGAAAAAAGTCACCTATAACGTTTTCTCCACAAGTTCCCTAGTAGCTTGTCCTAATGCCCCAGCGTGTGACTGGCTGTTACGGGCAAAGTTTTGCCATTGTTTCCACATTTCTTTCGATCGGTTGTCCTGCTGACGCTAACTTTGACCTTTGTAGTGTTTCTTATTGGTTGATAGATCGGGTCAATGTCAATATGTCTGTTGATCACTGATTGACCTGAATGTCAAACTTATATATCTCTCCCGCATTCTTTGTATTTCATCTATCCACGATTTTCATATGTTTCCAGTTGAATAAAGGTGTCCACAGTTGTCCGTATTCATTGATATGAGCGAAGATATGTTATGACGCTTCACCGCAAGTTGATGTTCATGTAGACGGATAAGAAAAGGGGAACCACACTGTCCGATGCAGTGATTTACCCAGTTTCTGCAGTTTATTTTGTAGATTATGTTTGTTTTGTCTTCCTTCGCCTTTGCATATTTCGGCCTGCATAACAGAGAGTGAGGAGATTTTGTGGGTTTGTGAGATACAGAGAGTCCAAAAGGCCTCAATAATCTAGTCGTGATCTCGGAGACATTCATCATGTAGTGTAGTACAATTCGTTTGTTGGTTTTCGTGGATGACTTTTTGGTTGATGACGAATTATGTAGACATCTTTTGATGAAGTTGCCTTGATACCCGTTCTTCTGGAAAGCAATCATTAAGTGGCTTTCCTCTTTTCTCCACAAGATTGCTATACTATAGTGTGTTTTCGCTCTTCTGAATAATGTTTCTATACAACTGACTTTGTGTGCTATTGGATTGTTGCTATTATAGTTGAGGATTTGATCCGTATGAGTTTGTTTTCTGTATACTTTAGTTTTCAATTTTCCCGAATCCGTTCTAGTGATTGGAACATTTAAAAATGCAAGTTTGTTATTTGATTCCTCTTCAATTGTGAGTTTGACGTCGTCGAAAATGTTGTTGATTAATTTGTGAGCATTTTTCAATTCGTTTCTCTTAATGATGACAAACGCATCGTTAGCACATCGGATGGAAGTTTTTGTTTGATCACCTCAGTCTCCAATCTTTGACGCTTGGTCAATACGTATTTGTCGGGTTGCTGAACACCTTTATAAAACCTGGATTCCTGATATTAATCGAACTCAGATAACCTAATGTGGTCAGCACTTTACTATTGACTTACTCTGGTAGGAAATCATTCTGTGATTGGATTAAATATGTGGATTAGTCCTGAAATTTTTGTTGATGGTTTTCAAGATGCATTGGACTTGGATCTCGAAGTTCTTGCTTATCACGTTCAGTTTTCAAATTTATGATTTATGTATTTATTTAAAGCATACTTTGTATAACATGAACAACAAGAGATGGATCATAAGAGATAATACTACAACAATAGAAAAACAAAAAGGGGATGCAGAGAGATTGAAAAACCAAAGGCTGGGAAAATAATATGGAAATGGGTTACTAAACGAACAATCTCGAAGATGCGTTCAAAATTGCAGTCATTAATTTTTTCTCACTTTGTCATAATGCAAAAACAGTAGGTATGTTCACCACGGGTTTCGATTCTGAGTCCTTTTTGATATGGGCTCAAACCACTGATTTACGTAATCTTAGGGGACGCCTTTCAGAAAGTCTTAAGGTATTAAAAGATATGAACCCAATGCAACTATTCTTCATTCCCTGGTCCCTACTTTTCTGAGGTTTGACACAGCCTTGCATCTAGCTAGGTTTGGTATACAAATACAATACCATATGCAACCAGTTTTATTACGTCGATCACTTTACGACGATGCTTTTGATGACTACTAAAAAAAAGAGAAACTGATCACACACTAAATTGCGACAAAAGTTCGAACAGGTACTCCAGAAGAAGTGGCAACCCTGAACGATACACTGTCGTTTTGATCGGTTAAAACATGATCTGCCTTAGTTCAGGTCTGAGTAGAAGAAATAGGACGTCATGTAGCTCAACGACAATCGCTGTGAGGAAATTTGGTGCTGTCTAGAAATAGGCTGTAGCAAACGCAAGACTTTAGAAGGTAATTTCTATGAACAAACCTACAACTGACCATTCGTTACTGCCATCCTAAATGATGCTTCTATGAGCCTAGACATCCGACTTGCGTATTCAATTTCCCAGATAACATTGTGATATCTTTCTAGCTTACTTTGTGTTGACGGTTACTCTATTGAGAGTGGAACTCACCCTTTACAGTATCTCGGCTGAGAGCATAGGCAGAGATGGCGAACAGGTGTCATTTTCCATCCCAGTTACCTCTCACTCTGAACAAACTTTCTGGTCTAACAGCATAAAACCGACGGTGGACGAGGATCCAGTTGACTAGTACACTTTTGGCCCTAGAACTTAGCTCAACACAGCATATTCACTTTTTAAGCAGAAAAATGGAGAATTTATTTAGTGCACTTTACTTTAACTTTGCACATAGATCTGTAAAATACAGTAGACATCAATAAAGAGGCTTCCAAGAGTCCTGACCAAACTTGTCTGTCGTCTGATCTGTATCAAGATCTGAACGTTGAAACCAAACAACCTTAGCGGTTCTCATGGTTTCACAACTATTGTATCGGAAATCGCTGTGAAGGACTGGTTTATGGGAGCATCCACTTTGCTTCTGAGGATGTATTCGATAGAACAGAATTAAAAGCATTGACAGGCAGCTGAGGGGAACTAGAATGCAAATAGAACCAAATATAAAAATGCCGACAAAAAGGATGGCTCATATGAAAAGTACCGACTATAAAGTGACACGTGAAATGATTACATTTGATTTTTAAGTACAGGTTTGAGTGCTTGTAGGAAGACTTGGGCAGTACCTAAGATTCTTCCGGTTCAGTATAAATGAATTATTTGTATGTGGACTGTGTCCAGATGCTCGAACTGGAAAAGGTTCTTCTAAGGTAGCAGTCCGAGAATGAATTTCTCTGACCCACATAGCAGCGGAACAACATATGGTGCTAAATTCCCATGGTTGCCGGTGCCTAATGAGGATTCATATGCTTTTCAAGCGTTTTGGATGTTAGAATCCATGTACTCCCCTGGTTTGAACCCAGGGTTGACCAACTCAGTATTCACCACTATTGTGATAGTACAGGATACTAGCTTTCACCTTCATATGTTTTTGGAAACTTCTTACCCTTGTGAATGCATTCAGTTAAACTTCAGTGGTAGAATGTGTGAACACGTAGCCACATGGGAATCTTTCGAGATGACAGGGGTTATTCCAACCACAGCTATGTCAGGACTTTAAGTGAAGAAGGACATCAAAATCATTTGTTATCACCCAGTTTGCAGTCAAACTGTGTGACCTAACCAATAAATTTCTGGCTGAAAGCCTATTTGATGATTCTCTAGTGACTGGCTCATGCAAATTTTACCGCAAAAATAAAGTCGAGTAGTGATAAAAAGCGATCCAAATCGAAATCAATATTCCAAGTCATCAACCACTAAGGTAGAAGTGTCACATTTTAAACTGTGGTTTCATGTTACATTGAGGTCAGAAAAAATCTTATTGGATAGTTTTGTCCTAGAGTTGACCAATCAAAATAAGTATCTAACACCTGACCTAGTGGTTTTATATGTTGATGAAAACTCCATATAAATGATGTTTTTGTCAAGTTGAGAGTCTTCTTCCCAGTCATAGGTCGGTCTTTGTCTCCTGATTTTCGCGGCGAAGTGAAGTATAAGGTTCTGAGGGAGAACAGTCGCTATTCGTACCCAGTCCAAGCGTTTTATCGCGTGCTTGTCACTTGAGTATTTATTATTGTTCACTTGGTCACTTCCGCTAGAATATAGACAAATAAGTCAGTAAAATCTATACAACAAACTGTTTTTTTAAAGTGTCTGTCAGCAAACAGGTCACTTGACTTCAATATTTTATTAAGGAAACTGGGAAAAACACCTGCAGTGCTATTTTAGAATATTTGGTCAGCCACTTAAATGCTAAAAGCTGTAAACGATGACATTTTCTTTTTAAATAGCCATTTATTTGATCGCAGACTATCTGGATTTACATCTAAAGTGGAGTGGAAAAAATCATAACAGAAAGCAAAGTGCACGTATTCTTGATTTCCTATTATTGATTGAAAAGCGTGAGCTGCACCGTTTATGAAACTAAAAGATTTCAGTCGCTGTTACGTATGATATTTTGATTATTTGTTCATCATCACAGGATTGCACGAAAAAAGTTTAGCGAATGGTTTTCTGTCTTGTAAATGTTCATCATCTGTAAACATAAAAACTAGTCATGAAACACTTCATAATAATAGAGTTTTGACAAGAAGAATCAACCTAGCTTACAGTAATCGATAATAAATAGATCTTTAAAAACGTGTAATAAATCTGTACAGATGTGAATTAGTCGTCACCACATTCACTGCTGCACAGGTTGCACAGTGAACGAACTTTTTTAAACTTTGAGTAGCCTAATGACCAGTTTTCCTTCCTGTCTCATCATAATGGCTGGTCAAAGCGTTTCCAAAAGTAGTAAAATAAAGTTGAATAACTGAATCGGCAACGTAAAGTAGTCTACAGGTTTGAATTTCACTTCTGCTTTTTCCTGTTGTCTATATTCTTTTAACATGAACTTCAGTAATAAAAAAATACGTGTAATGAAATTTCTTGATTTTTTTCAATTCACTTCACTTTAATGAACCTCAGGTTGTGGTTGTGACTACCTACTAAATGCATAAATTGAATGTATGAAAAAAAGTACCAGTACAGATACAAATTTGTGTATGTGAATATTGCAGTTCTCTACTAATTTACAAGCAAACTGAACAGCGAAAAATGCTTGTTTTGATTAAGATTTATCACTTTCCCTTATTTATTTAAAAAAATCCGCTTGTATATTTTAGGAGTTCCTTCAAAAACAAATGAATGTTTTGTTTCTGTCAACTGAATGCCATCCGTTGCATGTGTTCATCATCTATCAAGCTTTGAAGGATAACATAAGTCTAGACGCGGAAATGCTGGGTTGGCATAAAGCGAAATGTAGTGTGAATCGATAATGTGCAGTGTCTGAGGGATAGTTGCTCATTAAGTGGTAAATATGTGTCAATTGAAATGACCGTACGACAAAGAATGACTGGATAGTAATAACCTTTAATTATTATTATTATTAAATAGAATTAAAGGGTCCCTTATTTTCAGAAAATAAAATGTAGGTCATAAAATGTTTTTTTACCTATGACTCAAATGAAAGAAAGTCAGTTGAGTGTCCTCTGATAACCAGATAGTTTAAACACTTAATCACAGATCCAACTTATCAATACCACATTACAGTTGAAAATTTTTACCCCGCTTGCATTGGTGGTGGAAATATGTATCATGGAAAAGTGGAAAATATCAAAAAACCTGTAGGTAAGTTTCCAAAATTCTGAAATATTTGAGTTAGCGACAAGGTTAAGCCTTGTGTTTTTGTTAGGTTAATATCTCGTTCTCATTTTATGTGTTGTAGATACTTGTAAATTCGAATATTACAGAAAGGTATTATTGGATTTTCGACGAAATTCCTGATATACCAGTTAGTGATTTGCTACATCTTATTGCGTCATCAAATTCTGACAAAATAAAACTGGGCTTTTTTCGACAGTTTCCTGTTCTCAACTTCGAAGACCTAACAGAGCATAAATTACAGAAAGGCTCACGTTTACTGATTAAGTCTGCACTCGACGGCTTAACTAATATTTTACCAGTAAGTTGTTTAACAAGCGAATTGTTGGTGGAAAGATTTGCTGACTTTTCGTGGATCGACATTCTGTGTACTTCACTTTATTTTATTGGCTTTGGCCCATATAAGCAGGAAAACAATTAAGTTGTATCAGTCATTCTTTTAGGTTGAACTAAGACCTCGTCAGTAGACGGGGAATTTTAGCCCAGTTGGTAGAGCACTGGGTAGGAAAACCTGGGGTCGCTGGTTCGAATCCGCCTGTGGCCTAGATTTTCATTTCACCCTCAACTGACGTGCTGTATCAACAACGTAGGTCTGTCAAAACACGGCTATCTCAGGTAGTTAAACTAATAACGTAGTGCCCCCTCTCTAATTCAGTTCCATTTAGATTGGGTAAGAAGCCCTAGGTAGGAGGCCAGTATGAATACGATGAACGAAAAGTAACGCATCACTAATTCAAATGGCACCCTTGATGACTGAAATGAAATTAAGATCTGGTCAGCAGCTGGATCTTGTAGATCGGTTGGTACGGCGCCGAAGTGCTATCCCGGAGGTCACTGGTTCAAACCCTATCGTGGAGCAGATTTTCATCTAACATTCGATCATCGCCCAGTGTCACTTATTCTATTTAACCATTTTAAAAAAGGAATAAATTGACAGTGCTTAAAATTGAGGGATTTTCACTCAACTATGCTGGTATTACTACATGTTCAATCATATTTTGAAAATTTTCTAAGCACTTATACTGCACGCCTTGTATTATGAAGTTGAACATTCACTGACATACGATTAGAACACTTGAAAAGCTTTCAACTTCACAAAAAAGGTAAAGTAGTTTAATTAAGCTTTCATTCTGTTGGCAAAAGCTTCACGTGTCTTGACACCGGAAACTATTAGTTCATTAAGGTGAAAAACAGTAGCATATGAATCCGTTGATTTGAATTATCTTTCGAAGACGTAAGTTGTGAATAGATGATATTTGTCGTTACGTACAGATGATGGTGTGTTTATTGACAGTTATTTTTTTCAGCATCTGAATCTGATAAATTATGCATATTAGAATAGTACAACGAAACCAATTGCTTCAAGTGGATTTCTGAATAAATGTCAGCAACAGATACAGATACTAAGGCCGTAAAAAATTGATATTGTGACTAGTCAGTAGAATGGAACTTCAATCACATCACATATAATCCTCCTAGGTTAAACTTTTTCGAACTTTAGTGAAAGAATAAACTGATTATGTCAACTTTAGTCAAAGTAACGCAGTCAATGACCATATTCGGGTTCTTTTTAATGTTTTGGAGCAGTCAAAGAAATGCATCGATAAAAATGAACATATTTAGTACCCTTAGCGCACCCAAGTTGTATATTTGCACGTTAGATGGTGGAAACAATCTGCTGAATCAATAAAAATTTCTTTAAAATGGGATGAACAGTTTGCAAATGATTTACAAATTGAACAGTCCACTTTGACATTTTTCACAGCTGAGTATCTTCTTGAATGTCCAACTGCGGTGTCAACAGGGTTTCCGTGAAGAACCACTCAGCAAGTTGAATACCTATTCAGTTGTGAGAACTGTCAAAGTGGACCGTGCATATTGTAAATCATTTGTAAATTGATCTTCCTATTTTAAGTATACCGGTTCATGCAAGTTAGGTAACCAGACTCAAGTGATCTGAACTACCTCTACTCTATAAGCTGAATTTGCCCGTGTACACTGGTGATGAGCTAGGCCCCAAACGATCGAAGTGGCCTTCTGATGTTTGGATCATTCTGATCTAGTTAGCGAAATCTATACATCAGCCTGAGTGGTTTCTAACTACTCAAATTATTCTGAAGAGTTCAGCTCTTCAGAAATTGAATCACACCGAGATTCTTTTAACAATATCTGTGTAAATAGTGACAGATGAATTTACGAATAAAATTTAGTTGTACACCGTACAACAGTAGGATATTTCTTGACCATCACAATTTACATATAATGACAATTTGCTAGTCATAGTTTTGGTCAAATATTAGTAGTGCTTATAGACAAAACAGGTTAGATATAGAAGCAGATCGAGTAATTGTCACTCGATCATTTTGAAAGTTGTATAATGTATTTGGGATTTGAATTTTCAGGAAGTAACTTAAAGAAGAATCAATAGTCATCAGTGATTCATCGCTTATTTTACAGGAACGTGTGACCATTGCAGCCTATATGATAATGATGAGCAGTCAAATAGTGACTTTCATGAAATCATTGGGTTACGCCTACTTAAACCGAAGTGGCCTAACGTGTGATCAAATTGACCCTGATGTTGATCCATTTGGTGGTCAGTTGTTCTATGAATTTTTCAGTTATGTAGGTTTTTCACCGTCGTTTCTGAAAATAATGCTGTACTTTTACTTAAATAACTTCATTGTGTAATGGTAGATATTTCCTTTATCCGATAGACTGATTATTTTCAGAATTGTGTTATGCTACAAATCTCTCTGGAAGTTGATGCTTAGGGGAAGTAGTGCTAGTTGAAGCACTTGACATGTGCTTCATGACGAACTAAGGTATTCAATCATTTCTGTCGACTGATTTATTGTTGAATGGATAAATTGAACTAGTTGTTCTCAAGTAGAACTAACTAATGCAACCTTTTTATCAATATCAGCAGTGACGATTAGTAATATCATTCTACTTTGGCATCGTTAACTGAGTACAACTTTATTTCAGTAAGTTAGTGTTCCCGCTTAAAATTCAACTTCAGATCCTTTAGGTTAATAAGATATACGACTTATAGACATTCACTTGGTGATTCTCAGTCTTAACTGAGAACAGGTTTAATAAGGGGAGTGTAGTGGATGGCCTTTTCAACTTACTGTGCTTTTCTCCAACAGGGCACCACAACACTAAAATTAAAGCTATTGGAATTAAAGTTGAGCAGTTCAGACATTCAGGTATTTAATAGATAAATTTTTTTATTGCAGTCCGGATGTTGTGTAAGTTATTAGTTCCTTCCAAACTTTTGTGTTTTACTCTACCGTTATCTATTCATCAAGAATGCTACCTGTTAATCCCCCATAATGAATGTAAGTTGAACAAGAGGAACATCAGCATCTCCCCGATATTTATTATAATAATGATGTAATTATTCAGTACAAGAAATTTCTAAGTAGGTTATTGATAAACCGAATAGGCCAATAATTTTTGATAGCTATATGATTAATATAGCATATTCTCAATTAGCTTTATCTAATGACAAACTTGTTAAATCGGAGGTTGTGACTGTCTGACTGTAATCTGCCATTCATACCTAAAAATCCTAGTTCTGTAGCACAGCATTCTGTTAGTTATTAGGCTTTCGTTATCACTTTTTGTAGACATCAAAGATTAGTTGGGATCATTCAGGAAGGGGATCGGTTTACGGGTCTGTAGTTGACTTGATCAATATTTAGCATTCGGTTTAAATGCATAGATTGTAAGTGATCAAATAAAGCCTAATTGACAAATATTCGATAAAATTTTACCCACTTGTTGGTGATCATTACTTTCTTTGAAGAAATAATATGAAAGTATGAGAGATAGAGTATAATCTTTTGATTTATGTTGCGTTATTTGAATCCAGGGGTCTGGTACTAGTAGATGGAACTCTTTGTGGTTTTATTCTTTGGAATCTTTAAATGACACTACAAAAAACTTCATATCTACAGCACATTATACTGTCGATGATGTTATAAAACTTACCACTAGAGGAATCACAATCAAACAAAGAAGCTTGAAAAGTGGTTTGTTTTCAACTGTTTTCCAATCATTTGATGGAAGAAGTCTCCGAATATCAACAGTCTATGTGAGTATTTATTCTAACTGAAATTTTTTAACTGAAGAAGGTTTGCTGTTTCCAGTGTAAGGGTAAGTTTGGTGTCAATGAATATATTAATCAAGCATCAAAAAAGTGCTCACAAGAATGATACAAATAAATGAAACCAAACTATTGAGTTTTGCATGAAACCAAAGTATTCAGGTGACCATGTGTAGTACACCTAATACAAAGAATAAATGAAGCATTGCAACATAAATACTGCGAAATGGTTGGATTATTAGAAACCACCTATTCCATTATGGATTGCTGATTAGCCAAATCAAAATAATTCAAGTATTGGACTCTTGCAGTATTTATTTCAGATCAGTATTCTTGGCCCGGACAGACTTAACTCACTGATTTGAAGTGAATAAACTCACTTCTCTTCATCTATGTTGATGGTCTAGCGATCCATAGAAGCTGTGACTCATTGGTCTATGGAGATGACTTTCAAGCAGTGGATCGCGGGTTCGATTCCCACTCCACCTGCTGAGATTTAGACAACTAAGTAAAATCACAAGCTTTTACAAAATAGGTGTGGCTCATTGCTTACTGAACGAACATCCACAAGGCTACTGAAAGCATTTCGATTCGATGCTTATTCAATTAAAAGTTTAGGGTGAGAGCATTTTCAATTGACGTTACTGTTGGTTTTCTGGTACTTATGACTTTTAATAGTACAGCATTTTGTTCAAATTTTGTGTGAACCATTTCTACTTATCTTAGTAACAATTAATTATAATCATTCAGTCTTTACACATTTTGTTTTACTAGGCAGCACTTTTACCGTGGCGAAGGATTTTGATAGAATCTGGAGTTAGCTATGTGGAGATTGAAGTGGTTGTGCCAGACGTACAGTAAATACTTTAGTCTTACTAAGTAGGAGATCAATAGTTAGTACCTTGATACTTCCATCAGTCTGTGATATTGTAAAGAGTATCATCTGCAAATAATATGCTTGCAATATGAGGAATGCATCTGGTGAGGAAGTCTGACAGTGGACATATATCGACTTCAAGTACAAGCAATTTAAAAAGAATAGTTAGATATTTTGATTAACTTGTCGAACTCTGTTTGTGAATAAAATATCCTCATATTGTTGCCATAATTGTCAGTTGTTCAAACTGAGTAAATCGATATACTGATGATCGGCGCTAATACTTGTGATCCCTCCCTAGAACCTAAAATAAATTCGCAGTTAAGCTGCCAGAATTTTGATCCAGAAATAAGGTTCTTTCTATCTATATTAATGAGGACATTTTTGTCGGCACTTAGGTTCAAAGATTAAAATAAAATTAAACATGACAAAACTACACAAGGTTAGTTCCCTGATTTGCGACCAAGATTTGATCGACTAGTATCGTAACTATTGAAAAGATATGCCGTAAATCAGATTGACTCTTTTCTCACCTACATACTGGAGACAAAAATGAATGTCTTTCGAAGGCAATATGCCATGGATGAGCTTCCAGATCTTCTAAAATGTCCTTTTATGGAATATGTCTTGTAAGTTACCAGAAGAAGACCAGAGAAAAAACTCATCCAACTTAAGATAGAACTTGACAGTCAAGCAGTTGCTAGCAAATTCCCAACAAATCTGAAGAGATACGTGCACAATTTTTTTAGCGTTGCCTTAGATATGGAGCAACTTGAAATACTGTTTCTAGGTCTTAAATCTTGTGATAGACAAAAACACATCAACAACATAGATACTGATACACATTTCGAAAAGTTATACAGTCAGACAACTGATCTAGTGCCATCATCCAGTTTAGAACCAGAACGTTTCAAATCGCATCTGGTTGATTGTTGCTATCAGTATAAGAACAGTAAACATAAGTGCGAAAGTATTTTAACTAAAAAAAGATAAAGAGGCTATTAAAAGCTTGCTAATAATGGTAAATCACTAGCTACTAATTACTGATAAATGAATAGTAGTAGTTCTTCTTGATAAATGAGATTATATAAGCAAGAGGAATGAAATACTGAGAGACAAATAAAAACCGAACTAATTAAATCTCTGAAGAAATAGGAAGAGCAGCATATAATATCATCTAGCATGTATGATGCCTTGAAACCCACGGGGACTCACGTTCCGAGACTGTATGGCTTATCTAAAATCTACAAACCAGGAGTGCCGTTAAAACTGATTCTTGATATGCAGAATTCTCCTTACCATGCCTTAGAGAAATGGCTGATCACTATTCTCCAGACTGCGCAAACAGCTGGCAAAATATAGTGTGAAAGACGTATTTGAAGTTATAGAGAGAATTAAGGGTGCTAACATCGTGAAAAAAACTATGATGTCATTGGATGCATCATCTCTACTCACTAATGTTCCTCTTCTTGACATAGTCAACTACATTGGTGAACAGCTGGAAAAAAGTCGATCAGTGTTGGAATCCCGAAAGATGTCCTCAAAGAATTATTGCTCAAATGTACGATGAGGGTAAACTATATAGACAAGTGGATGGAGTCACAATGGGTTCACCAATGGGTCCCATTTTAGCAAACCTTTTTCTATGGAAACTAGAGAATGGTATACTTGAAAGATATATCAGAGAATTTTCACTTTACTGTTGACATATGGATGATACCTTCATCCTGTGCGAACCCAACATGAACAGATCAGAGATACTCAGCAGATTCAACTCAGTACATCCAGTGAAGAAGTTACTGGGGAAAAAATCTTTGTTCACTTAAATGGCTTTTTAAAATAATAACATGAGATTTAGTTTATATTTGTGTAATTTGCGGCTTGTTTGAAATAAGAATGAATAAGTCAGGGATTATTTCTCTGAAAGTGCTCGGACCAGAATTTGGTATGAAACTTTCAAATTATTTTATTTCACACACAATCCGTGACTTACGAAATTATAAATTATAATTTATGTCAACACCAGGTTATGGTTGATAAACCAGTATTCTGCATTTTGTACCACAACGTTTTCTCATTTCATACAAGCCAGAGTGTTTGAAAACCTATTGAAAGTGATTAGTGTATAACTATAATGTTGAAATAAGCATCACTGTATCAAGCCCAAATATAGTACACTTCCTAACCTTGAATAATTTCAATTCACATGCTGACACTTTACCGCTTGCCGTCTGCATCTTTTCTGTTCAAATATTTTTGTAGTTAATCTAAAACTGTTGTTTAACTATCCATTGAGTAGAAAAGTACTCACCTTTTAGCTGGTATAGAAAGCTGGTAAAACTCAGTAACTTGTTTCTCATGTCTGAGGTCAATACTGATTTGATATTACTTTTTATTTTCGAAAGACACAACTAAGTAAGCCTATTGAATTCGAGCACATATAACTGGATTACGCTTTTTTCGAGTGTTAGGTAGATGTGCTACCAACAGAGCAGTAATTAAAAGGGGAATGATATGATATTAAACTGTGATGATGAAATAAGTTGTCAATTTTTTAGATTATTGTAGCATTTAACGTTCACAATACTTTAATTGTTACACTTCAATTATTAGATTGTTTGGGTTTTTGCCCGGTGAATATAATAATTACTGCAGGTTGTTTGAAGTTAAGTTCATTTTTCCATTTTGTTTTTAGGATCCACCATTTATTGTAACTGGTCAAATAATTGAAGGTAGAGAGTTAATCAATGCTACAGGATTTGTTATTGACATACTAAATGAACTGGCTACACGCTTCAACTTTAAGTAAGCAACGATAGCTTTTTGTTCCTTATTTAACCAACCAAACGTCCGTCATGCATCTATCCACTAAGGTAAAATATAAGCTATATGCAACAGTAGAAGTAGACAAATATGCAAACGCAACTTAGCTTCATATTTTGACAAGGTGGATGAAAATAGTAATATAAAGAGAAATAAAAAGTTAACCGACCAAGAGACAAATTAGTGGTGGTAATGGAAATAAGAACAAAATAACGGTTTTGTGAAGATGTAGATGCATCTGTATCACTGAAATGATTTTGAGCATGACACATGTTTCAATTATTTTAGTCTCTGAAAGCTAACTGTCTCGCTAACTAGTTAACCTGCTTTTTTTCCAAAACCCTATTGGTATAGAGTAACTTAAAGCGCAAATGCATGTGGACAATTTAACTGAAAACCGAACTGTCAAAATTGTGAGGTATTTCTTACTTGTGAACCCTTTTATAAAAACGTTGCAGATTAGTAAGATCAGTAATAGATAGATCCACGTAAGGAACATTTCAGTTGCTACTAACTGTTTTGAGAGCAAACATGTAATAAATTGAATAAGTGAAAAACATTTCAACAGTAAATCAGCTCATGATTAGATGTTTTCCGACTTTTAGTGTTAGACTGACTGTATGGTCATATTAGATCAGAATGTTGTCCTCTCCATCTTCGAATACTGAAAACTTCATTTGAGTCCGCTTCCCACTAAAATTTCAGCCTAATAACCAGGACATACAATACTTCCTCAGTAAGAGTAGTGTTGGTTTAATTGTGTCAGTGTTGGTGGCATTTTGGTCGGTTGGTTACGCTTCTGCTTAAATCCTTGAAGTGGAACGAATCCGATGGAAACTGAATATTGTCTTGAGTCTAAAACATAATAAACTATCATCTTCACATAGAATTCAAAATGATGTACTTGTGCACAAGTTTCTAAATACATTTATCTGAAAAATCTATTGGGATATTTAAATGATTTTATGTTGTTACCACTTAACCCATTTGAATGGGAATAGAAGTCATACAGCTATCATTATATATATATATATATATATATATATATATATATATATATCATTCTGAACAAGCAGTTACCTCACAGAACTTTAAACAGTCAAGAAATGGAATTTGGAGAGAACCATCAGATATCGGGATAATTTTGCACACTTGACTTGTTTTTGGAATAAACTTTTTGATTTAAGTGGGTGGAAGGCGACTTTCATTTTCCTTAAGAATACTACTTGCGTTGTAATTTAGTTTTCAAATCTTTTGTGTAGATTTCTTCAGTGAAGATGTATATTTCTAGGTTTTCAGTGGCTTACCAGTGAATCATCTCTGTCATAATATGCCTAATCGGGCTATTATTTATATTATCTCTTACTATTCACAGTTACCGTCTTTTTCTACCACAGAATGGTACATATGGCGCGTTAAATGAAAAAGGAGAATGGGATGGTGTGATGGGTGAACTAGTCAGTGGAGTAAGTAATTTTTATGTAAACTCAATGGAGGTTTGCACCATTTTATAATATCTACCGGTTATGCTCATTTTATTGTGTGGGGTTTTATTAAAAAAAGGATATTTATTCTTATGACATTTCGCTTTTGTCATTTTCTGTTTCTATAAAAAGTAGGCACTTCACTAACAACGAAAAAAAATGGACAGTAGTCCGAAGAAGAGGTAACAAGAGCATATGAAGAATTTTTGTTACGTAAGATATTTGCCACAATGTGTTGCTAAGTGTTCCGAAAACGGGTTGGGGATGGGGGAAGCAGCTCATGTATGATGAGAAGTAGATCAGTCCTGTTCAGCTCATTTTTATAAAATTTTCAAAGTATTAGTCATTTTCCGAATGAATTTAATTTGCACTTGTTTGAGATACGCACTTTATGATTGAGTTAATTGACTCTATTAACTATCTTGTTTTCAATGACGTGATCGACGCTCAATCGATTCAGTTTTCATCCCTATGTCAGCAATCATGAATATCTATTTCCATCCTCTGGATTACCATTTGACATGTAAAAACTATTCATTTCTATGTTGTTACACCTAAATTTGTCTCGGTCTACGTTATATATGTATGTATGTATGATCTTTTCCATTGCTTAACGGTATATATAATCAAGTATGTAGAGTATCCAGCTGACGAGTACTACTGAAATTTATGAATTCATTAAATCCTGCTTTTTTCACACTTGTTGCTTTTTTTAAATTTTGAGTCAATTAAGTTGAAAATAAATTTTTCATCTATTTTTCACCTAATCACGGATTATGTAAAAGATTTGCAGTAGCAGATATGATAAGAATGAAGTTGAGCATTGTTCTGTACTTCAGATACGAAGTTGTTTTAAAACAAGTCACGCTACTAAAGTTCAAAATGAATCACGGGGTAGTTAGTCACTCTGTCATAACACAGCTTTTTCATAAGCGCTTTCTTTCTGCTGAACCTGAGATAAAGTTTAATTTCGTGTACTTCTACACAGTATCCTGTTTAGTTTGGATGACTCTCATAGCCGCCCTAACAACTATTAAGGAGTTCTGTAATTTATGAAATTACCTTCTCAGTTGAAATACTGAAACCTGATTGGTAATGTCTGCAGTTGCCAATCTCGGTCAAATCTTGGTTCACAACCTGGATAAGTTAACTGAATAACAATTAAAAAAATTAACCTCTTACGTTTTCCTACTTTACGGAAAACCAGCTTACTAGAAAGAACATCGAAACCTAATTGGTTACCTCAGGGGTTGCTGAGGTGGCCTTGAGTGACTTTAAAGGCCACCCTAGCAACTGCCGGAATAGCCTATAAGGTTTCGGCATTTCGTCTGGGAAGGTAGTTTTGGGTAAAATAGAGAAATGCAAATGGTTACTCCAGCAGTTATTAAGGTGGTCTTTGGAGTCACTAGATCGTGATGACTCTAAAGGCCGGAAAATTTTAAAGGCCACCCTAACAACTGCCAAAATAGCCAATTAGGTTGCAATATTTTGGCTGAGAAGATAAGTTTTCGAAGGATAGAGAAATTTGACTGGTTGCTTCATCAGTTGCTGGAGTGGTCTTTAAAATCGCCCCGTGAAATCTAAATGAGTACTTTAATCGTTGTCACTATGTCTTCTCATAAATCATACAGATGGATCATGTAGCTGTACGTGTAAATACAAGGCCAATATCAACAATAATTTATAAATGTCAAGTAGCTCATCTTCATTGTAGTAAACTGACAAATATTCTGATTGAGCGATAGATGGGATTTCGTAGACGTGTTTATAAACAGCGTTGTGTATAGAGTAAAGTGGCTACTGGATGTAAGCTTCAACTTGTATGTGTTTAGTAAATAATACAAAAAAATAATCTGAGTTGCACATTTTGTTTCATTAACTCGCTTGAACAACAGCTACATTTTTATGTTCTCAAAGTTTAGTGACTGGTGAATTCTATGCATTTTGAAGTTGGTTGTTTTCCACATTAACTTGCAATGAGTTTTTCATCATCTCCACTTATTCATTTATCTATTCACTGGTTAATTATTCTTCTAGAAAGTAGATATGATAGCTGCAGGTTTGACAATTAATCCGAGAAGATCAAATTATGTTGAATTCATTGGTCCGATTGTTGAAGATACCCTTGGAGTGCTTGTAAAGCCATCAAGAGCAAATGATTATTTCTTTCAAGTATTTTATTTATTTAAACTTGATGTATGGATAGCAATTACATGTTCAGTGGTTGTCAATGGGATTACTGTTTGGCTGTTGAATAGATACAGTCCATTTAGTGGATGGAACTCACAACATCCAGATGCTTATGCAAATGAGATATCATCAGTGCACAATTTATGGATTTCTCTGCGTTGTATGCTTCTTCAAGGTAATTTACTAATCAAAATGTTGGGGATATTAGCATTTTTTAGAGCATAAGTTATTTAAACGTTATTACTAATTTATCGTTTTTATCGAATTTTCATGAATTATGCAGAACCATGTTCCTTAATGTGAACAGGCTTTATCGATAAACAAAAGCTTTGATAGAATGTACTAATCCTCCGAAAATCAAGTTATTTACTCTTTGGTTATTATCCACGACTGACAGATACAACTGAGTAGGCTATTTTGAGAACCATCATCCCTTAATCTGGACGAACTTGAAAATGTATTCATTTTCCTCTCTAATGTCTTTTTTGTCCTGATAGCTGATTAGCTTGTTGTAGTAATATACTGCTCAGACAGTGATACTTCATATGTTGTCTGTTGACGATATGGACAAGTATAGTTTACAACACAGCCTTCCCTTTCTCCCTCTCTTTGTATACACATATTTGAAAGTACCTCACTCAAGCAAGCATTAGTATAATACAACTTCTTTTTCTATGGCCGTTTAATGAAACTCGTTCTTGAAGATCCTTCGAGCGTCTTATTGAAATATAGGCCTCATTACTCAGAATGTGGCTGTTGTCTCCCATCTCACCCGCTAACAACTTTATTTAATGACTGGAATGGGGATTTTCAGTAGGAAATCGACTATTTACAAGAATAGCCGCTTAGTACTAGTTAAAGAACAAACCTGGTAACTCTTATCTAAGGCAGTCTTATGTTTTGTCTTAGCTAGATTATGCATACATAGTGCTCACCAGCATATACGTGTAACAATACACTAAACTGGATGAGTTTGTCAGTCACTGTCAAGTAGTTGTCAAGAAATTATTATTTTTCACTGCCTTTTTGATCTGTTTAGATAGGTCTGAATGGAATTGGTAGCCAATAAACAGCCCACTTATGGTTTATTTCATGTCACTTAAATATCCATCAGAAAATTAACCAACAAAAACCGTTTACGTCTTTCTGAAAAGCTACGTTCCCTTGAGCATGAAACCATTGTGTCTTTTGACATGAAACTACATTGTCGTGTCATTAATGCGATTACTGACAAACAAGAACAAAGATAAGTCCAACAGTGGTAAAAAGTCATAATACCTAGTTAGGTTCTGCAGCTGAGAACGTAACTCATTCTAAATATTTCGCAATGATTACAAGGGCCATGAATAAGTCAGAATAACCACTCATACTAGTTTTTAATAATAACACAAATAATGACAATAATCATAATTTCAAGTTGTTATTCATCGTAGACTGACATCAGTTGGAGGAACAAAGGAAACCTGGGAGCACTGGACAGCTGTTTCGTCCTAGTATGGGACTCCTTAGCAGTGCGCACCCACGACCCCACCAGCAGGGATCGAACCCGCGACCTTCAGGTTCGGCGGCCAGCGCGTTACCACTGAGTCACTGGGTCAGAATCCAATGCTCCATATTTCCAACTTCTGTTAGCTCACGATATAGCGCAACCGCCACCCAATGTCATCGCTGAGTATTTGTCCTCATGGCCATCAGGCTTGGACTCCACCGGTCACGACTTGTCATTGGAACTTCGGAATACTTCTCGAAACTAGTCACCAATGAGCACCAGTTCAATTTAATTTTGAGGGAGTTGTGGAGATTTGGAATTATTTCAAGTTGTTATTCATCGTAGACTGACATCAATTGGAGGAACAAAGTGCTCCCAGGTTTCCTTTGTTCCTCCAACTGATGTCAGTCTACGATGAATAACAACTTGAAATAATTCCAAATCTCCACAACTCCCTCAAAATTTAATAATCATAATCACTTTATTTTAGGACAAGAAGGTCAGTTATTCAGTTGTTCATCACGTGCTTTATGCTTACTGTATTGGTTCATGATTTTGACTGTGCACGCAATTTGGCAAGCTGATTTAACGGCATTTCTGACAAAGAACAGACTTGAATTACCAATCAAATCTTTGAAGGACTTGGCTACCAGTGACAAAATGACAATATTAACCATAAAAGGGACTAGTACGTATAATATGTTCCAAGTAAGTGATGCCATATCTTTGTGTCATCTGTTGGCAAAGCATTTTATGTAACTTCCCGTTCAGATACCTACATCCTTTGTTATCCTTTTAGAAATATGATCCACTGATTTGTATGCCTAAGCTGTGGAAGACTCAGCAGAGTATTTCAACATGATAATGAAACATGGAAGCTTTGTCTATTAATAACTACGTGACTGACTTTCATCAGTTAGGCCTAGTTTTGAACAAGTGTATTTGACATATCAATCTTTCCCAAAGATATTTAGTGGACAGGAGAAATTTCTAAGGGTTGTTTTTCCAAAAGTAACTGAACTCCCCTTTTAGCATCAATGCCTGATTGAATTCGCAGCTTACATGATTGCAGTCAGCTAGAGAACCGTTGGAAAATAGGCAGCACAGAACAGCTGCTCCACACTAGGCGAAAACTTCTCAGTAGTACGTGGTCATGATCCAATGAGAAATCAAGCTCAGAACTGTCAGAGATCACACCCAAAGTTTTAAGATTATTTACATTTCACTGTCAAAGTATCATCAGAAATACATTTCTGTGTGATATTTGAATATTGGAAGCTTGACTTCTGATTTACCTATTACTTATCCATGTTAATCAGTAATCTATATCATTGTTTTAACCGCTTTTTACTTTGATTAATTTGTTGAGATTTGAAAATTTCATGAGTCAACTACAGAATTAAACCAAGATGAACTAAGAGAAGTGAATAGTTGTAATATCGATAAGCGTCTGTGTCACACATTACTGTCAAGTCAATTTCGCTTTTAAGTGAGATTGAAGCAGTAAAACAAAATAGAAAATCAAATAGTAAGTACAATTCAATTTCTCGTGCATAAAATGTATTTTTGCCTATTGTTATCGAAAATCATTACTCCAAAACTGTTTCTATCGTTCACTACAGGTCTCCGTAAATAATCCAGTTTATGAATCTATATATAAAAAGTTGGTTGCAAATCCTGTTACCGTGTACCGCACAGCTGATGCAGTGAAGCTTGTCAAACAATACGACAATTATGTCCATATAACTGAGAGATTATTACTTTTGGGTGTAGTAGAATCACAAGAGAGCTACGACCTTATAGTGATAGAAGAGCCTAATGTGGTAGCGCCGCTTGGATTCGCTGCACAACTCGGAAAAGAATATACTCAAACTATGTCTTCATAGTAAGTTTTGTTGGATCAAACTTTTTCACTGTATATCTCTTACCACCAAGAAATCAATATTCGACCGATATATGGAAGGCTTTGTTGAATTTTTACATTAAAATTCTAGATGTTTAGAGTCTTAATGTAGTGGAAATGGAAATCTCTGACATTTTTCGATTCGTTTGGGTAGCTGAAAGTGAAGAAGAGGATTGATATGGTCATGGTTGCTGATTCGTACTTCCATATCAGTGTTATCTGAAAGATACACAAATGTTAACCATACACCATGTACTCAAACCTGAATTTATTTCAATGTATCAGGCTAAATTACGACACTGATACTCATGAATTTATGATAGACGAGAAATATTTCATGCACCACTGAAGATTAGCCTTCAAGAATTAATGATTATCACTGCATTGGAATGCCAATAAGATAATCTTGAAATAAATAAATGAAAGAGGAAAACTCTCAGTGTGACTACTACTAAGACAACTTACTATTTTTCACAAAATTAGTAGCGTAGGCCTGTCGTTTGGTATACAGTTTAATTCAAAAAAATAATCAAATACTATTAGTAAGAAGATTACTGAGACACACTTGGATAGTTTCTGGCAGAAAGAGGTAAGTTAGGTAACTAAGTTTGGATAATGTAATTAGAAGACTTTATCAATGTTTGAGAATCCAGCTGCTTTCGTAGCCATTTTGGAACATGTCCCCTTACCCACAAGTGCATATCACGACTAGTCCTCCTTATGTATGTTTTGTCCACATACATATTTAAATTTATAAACGACGTGGGATGTGACGCAATCGTTTATACAGCGTTGAGGTCTATGTTGCAGCAGGTGTTTGGTCTTTTCAACTATGATAACCTTAGCTGCATAGTACGTCTTGCTAACAGCAGACCTTAACCTTCGTTTTAATATTATGCTCTTAGATTCTCCTCTGCATGGTAACGCGATGTAAACGCATTTCGTCGAAACAGAGTACAGATTAGGTTTGAATCCTGTTTGATTTTTGCAGCGGTTTATGAACTTCAATGAATATCCATTTTCCACTAATGTTTCCGTTACTATTTTGATATCATCATCCATTGAGTCTTCCGTACAAATACTCTTGATCCTTTTAAATAGGCAAGTTACCAAACCTTGCTTGTATTAGGTTGAACAAAAGCTATGGAAACTTAAATACTGATCTGTACAAGTAGGTTTCCTGTAGATCTACCGTTTTATTGAACCATCATTTCTACGACTTAGGAGTGTATCGAAAAATGGCAGACATTTTTTTTTCTCTCCTTCACATGTTAGGCTTATGTTGTTTTGTACGATGTTAAGTCTTTCTAACAAGCATGTCGCATCTTCATGCTTGTCATAAATCACGATTATATCATCGATACATCTCTTATATGGAGTAACTTTACTGGTGATCACCGGTCAAGCCTTCGATGTGCGACATGTAAATATCAGCTACCAATGGTCCTAAGGGAGTTCCCATAGCCACACCATCTATTTGTCGAAAATGTTCACCTTCAAATGTGAAATGAACTTTATCAGTACACAATAACAACAACTCTCTCAAATACGTTAAGGGGATAGGGAAAGAAGGATTACTGGAAGATATATGGTCACAAAGAATGTCATTAGTTTTAATTAAGGGTAAATTAGTAAATAAGAAGTTGACATCAAATGAATACAACCTCTTATCTTTGATATTAATATCACTGACATAATTAACAAGTTCAAAAGTATCTTTTAAAGAAAACTTACATAATTCATTTTGAACAGGAACTAAAGTTTTGCTAACCATTTTGCCACTTTATGTGTAGGTGTACCGAACATGGAGAGTATAGGACGTAAATGATTATTTGTTTTATGAATTTGACCTATGTATTCGACCTCACAATCATTGCAAGGGATTTGGTAAACCAGTTTATTTTGCTGAATTGCATCGATAGGATCTTTTAACCTACAAAGCTTGTTTCTAAGCGAGTTTGTTGGTTTAAATGCCACTTTAATCCCAGCCTTATTAGGAATTCTTTGTAATGTTTCTGAGGTGCCTTCCTTGTATGGTAATATAGCAGAAGCTTTGAAGTCTCTCTCAACCCTGTCAGCATTATTACAATTAGTAGTAGGACTATTAATAATAACACCTGTATTATAACTACTACCACAGCTAATATTTTTCTTTCGACTTCTTATGAATTTATTTATAAATTTTGGTGGGTAATTATTGAGACGCAAGGTATTCTTGATGTGTTCAATTTCTTATCGTAGATTTTCTGGTCTACTGGTAAGCTTTTTCGCCCTATCAATTAGGCATTTAACTGAAATGGGGTGGGAGGATTTGAAGTCTATTTAGCGATTTGAGTGGGAAGGTTACCTGTAGACACTAGTCTCTAGACTTCCGTCTTGTGTTCGTTTAATCTTGCAATCCAACATTGCTAGCTCACCTTCATCACTTTCTAAGTCAGGTAAACTGGATTGCATTCATTACTGAATTTATATGTCCCAAGAATCTATTGATGTGTTCCGATTTCAGTACTGTAAACATATCATCTACATATCGGAACCATATCTTTGGAGTAGGACTAAATGTTTGAAGGACCATCTGTTCCCAATTATCCATAAATATGTCTGCGACAATAGGGGATATCGGTGATCCCATGGCAACACCTTCAGTTTGTTTATGTATTTTATTTTCAAATTTAAAAACCGTAGATGTTAAGCATAATCGTACCCCCAGCTTGATTTCCTCGATCTTAACCCTAAACATCAACTGCTACTGATAACAGTAGTGAAAAGCAATTCGAAATTAATCCCATCTTGTAACTAGGAGCCTTTGAATGATGACACTTAGGAAACACCAGAGAAAGAAAATGCTGAATTGAATCCTTATGCATTAAAGTGTCCCTTCATGCTTCACGAAAGAGGAGCTTTAAGGCAACCATATTTACAGGTTTGTTTTAGACTTACTATTTATCGTTATTCCTTAATCGAAGAGCCACTTGACTTTATTCAGTATTCAAATATCATCATATCTTGAATATTTACTGTGAGATTTTCTGTTTCACATGTATAAGAAAGAATAAGAGTTAGCATCATGGCTGACTCGGAAGCCAATGCATCATGCGTACCAAATCAGTGCTGTGTCATTTCAGATAATAAACCGAGGTCTTAACCCCACTTTGGTACTTAAGTTGTCTACTGGACTGTTATATTGATGGGGGTAAGTATCTGTTTACACACACAATCAATCCACACAGCAATTCGATCGGACTCGTACCACTTGTTCGAGCCCTTCAGTAATGTAGATTTCTTTTGCACTTCAACTTTTGCCCATATATCAGAAGCTGAGCTTGCTGGTTAGGACTATTTTTTGTAGTATATTTATCAATTGTCAATTTTTGTTGATTTTTACCTGCAGCATATTAACTTTAAGGGAACGAGGCGTAATTGACAAATTTATGGTGAGATGGAACATGACTAATGATGCCAGTCCTATGGATGTTCAGTATCAAGCGTTGACCTTATGGAATGTAGCTGGTGCATTTATTGTCACTTCAATATTTACTGGTACTAGTCTACTTTTCCTGATAATCGAACGTGTATGGAGTAAATGGAGAACTATAAAGCATAATAACAGTAATAACATATAGGATATTTGATGATAAACTCATTAACTTGTATTAGCAGCATAATGAACAACTTAAGAATATTTTTGCTTGCGTAGTGTGTGACTGTTTTTGTTGTAATTATAAACTTATTTCTTATTCAGTAATTCCTGAGTTATTGATTCATTCTAAACCGTAATTTCGCATAGTTTACGCTGATAAAATTAATGGGTATTTATCTCCATAAAGAAAAAAATTTTGTGATGTTAATTTTTATCTATGAAAAGCAGAAGATAAAGATAACTTATTAGTTAACCTCATGTTCCTATGACTGATGAGTGGATTTCAAGTGTGTATTAATCAGCTTGAAATCATTATCGAGGACAACGTTTCATTAGTAGTAAAAGGGATTATGAAAATATGTTTTTAATAGTTATCATTAAGTTTAAGTTTTCTCACCTCCAAACAAATCGCATTCTTTGTGCGCAAGACAGATGTTCTTTCGTTGGTTTATAAACTACTTGTGCAGATTATAATTCACAGCAATTCAGTGGCTAAAGGTAAACAGATATGAATGGGCATACCTTTAATCCTAATTTTGAATTTATCATTAGTGTGGACACTAAAGTGATATTAGTTATTAGTAAAAACTGCCCTCGTATTAATTAAATGCTTTACCATGACACATCAGTTAGAAAATGACCATTAGTTTTTGGCTCACCTCTCTAAAACAATGGCTGAGCTTTTATTTGAGAAGCCGTGTCATGTGCAAAAAAGAAGGACTGAAGGACAAGTATATACGTTTTGACTGTATTACAAAAAAGGTCATATGGTGCTAGAAATCGTCTCTGGTTTAAAAAAATGTAATTCTGGCAGACTGTAACACAGCGCCTTGGCGTTTTAAGCTATGGAAACGAGGTTCGAGTTTCGGTGGGAACAACATCACTGGGGTGCAGGTACATCCAGCTGACGAGTCCCAAATAGTACGAAACGCGCGTCCTGGATTCTTCTGTTATCCACAACCAACCAAATTATCATAATTAACATTTAGGCGATATCGAGACATCAGCATAGGAGCGCATATGTCTTTAAAGGTCGAACAATTCGATCCAACAAAACAACGGAGAATAACAAGTATGTCAATAAATAGTAATAGCATCTTTTTGTTTGTGTACGTTTACTAAGGAAAAAATAAATAACTATTCTTTGTTAACAAAAATGACTTTCAGGGTGAATAAATGATTCTCAGTTTCAGGAAGACACTTGATGAAGAAGAAACTCCTCTGAGAGTTAATTAATTTGTAGGTTTAATGAAGAGAGTATGTACGTATTATAAACGATGCTATTATACTCAAAATCTTAAACCGTACCTTAAGAGTAAAGAAAGCGTAGATTATGTCGCCTCAATACTATCGTTAATGTTACACTCACGTATGAGGTAGGCTTGTTAGTCAGAATACTGACTACGGAATAAAGTCGGAAGTGAGTTTCTTTTTAGGTTATGGAGTAAGGGTTGAGAAAATACTGGTACTGTATGATTTTCTAGAAGTGCGATTTAGTATATTTGCCTATCGAACTACAATAACTGGAAATAAAAGCTAATGTTATTCAGTAGTGAATATTTTATCAACCACCTGAAGCACATCATTTCTGTGAAGGCAGTTGTTTGAATCCCAAAAGATTCTTGACTCTAATCATCTTTTTTCCTGTCGGTTGGCATCTCGTAAATTTTGTGAATATCTCAATAGGTTCAGTTTGTCGCGTTAATACTAGTTTTTAAAACATTCAGTCATGCTGAAAGTACCTAACATTTCCTTTGTTTTTTGTTTCACTTATGAAGTCACATGATATTTTGTTTTTCATGAAACTTTTCGCCTCTTAACAGAAAAGAAATACGGAATCCATTACAAAAATGAATAAATAATGATGTTTGCATATAAGTAGTGCGTTGGCGACCATTCGACCTTGACCATGGTTTAAATAATTAGGCTTTTTGACAAAAGGAAAACACACTAGGGTGATACATTTCAAACTGAGTTTCAGATACACATCACAACAATGCAATGATTTCTGCTGTCAATAGGAATTAACAATTTTCTTAGAACAAAGGCAAGCAAATATTTGAAGATTCGAAGCGTAATAGACAGTGTCGATTTTAGCGCAGTAAACTTTCGGCATTTATCGAAAATGTTAACTTACCTGCCAATTAATAAAAAGTACGGTTGGTTTTTAGAACTGCATAGGAGTGTATCAGTCAATACTTGTATTCATATTGTAATTTGAAACCGTTTTCTACTGGTCATCAAAGTATTCTTGTGGATTCTGCGCATACTGAGAATTACTTAAGCCTAGTAAACCTTACTAAAAAATGTACCCGTATGATGATAGATGAACGCAAAACAAGATAATGGCGATTTCATAGAGATTTTAGGGCTATCCCAATAGTTAGTTTCTTGAAAACGCAAGTTTGACATAGTAACATATAAACCCATCGAGTTCGTGAAATGTCGATTGGTATTTTTTTCTTTCAAATTAAATTTATAATCCTCATTGAAAAGCAAAACAAGGATTTTAACTAAGAAAATGTTTTGTTTCGACGATTTAGTATTATAAGCTGTAAAGTTGTATGTACATCTATGTTGATATAGGTAATAACAACTTTAGTTGTATATGTGTTTCATTTGGATCAGAATGCAATAGTCCACAGTTTCTTACTAGGATGAACCAGCTGTCCAGTCCCCGTCAATCGTTCTACAGTTAGTAATGAATACTAACTGCCTCGATGAAATCAATCAAGCAGTCTCCACAACCCTCCAAACTGAAATGATTATCTAATTTGTTGGGTAATGTAGAAGACTTAACGTCAAAGACGCGAGATAAGTGAATGACTGAATAAATATGGTCTTCGGTCTTTAACCTCCTTTATTTGCTAATGGATATGATGGTTTATGAAATACCATCCTTACTGATACCGATGCCTCCCACTCTTTCATTTATTGTAATGATAAGACACTCATACAAACAAATTTGTTATCATCTACATCAACGTTGATATAGATACCACTGTAGAGAATTTATAAATGGAATCATTGCAAAGAAAGAATTTTTCGCTCAAATATTAGTTTTATGTCTCATCAGGGATTTTTAGCTTAGTATTGCTTATTCTATTTAATGCATTTCAACTAAACTGTTTCACACAACATATGTTCCAAAAGCCTTTCATTCTAGACATCAGCTTTAATTCAAGATAGGGGAAACAAAATCTACTTAGAGTGCTACAAAGTGGCATTTCTTAAAACTAACACTCATTCATGTCTGAAGTGTCACTTTCAAGTGAAATATGCACTTGTCCATTCATTCAGCAAGTATTTTTTTTAAAGAACTTAAGTAACATCATCCAATTATCAGACCAATTGTGTCAGCCTAAATAATTTCAACTGTGATAAAGCAGGATAAGACAACGTACATAATGTAGAGTAAAATTCTGTTTGAATGTCAGTGATCAGTAGATAAATTTGTACTATATGTTAAAAATGAAAATTTAATGAACAAAAGTACATACAACTAATCACACTGTATGAATAGTAATTCTGAAAACTCATTAACCGAGTTAAATACGTTGAATTGAATGAAGATACTAAGGTGGTGTAGTTCGATCAAGGATTTTAACTGGGTCATCGAAACTGAAGCTTTAGTAACCTTGGTGAACAAAGCTCAGAAAGTAATAATGACATCCAAAAAGTAACAAATATTGGTTTACCTCGTTTTTGTTTTAATAAACCATAGCTTCTTTTTTATTGTGGTTTAAATTATATAAGTACACAAAAATGTTGTATCCAACTGTGTTTATTTAAGAAGAGTTATACTCACACAGTTAACTTTCGCTACGCGGAATTGATCTTATGATGAAATATTCCGTTTTTCGGTTTCCGATTTTGTTGACAGTATTTATATCTACCTGTTGTGGAAATACTCTGCATATTGGTAAGTGTTTACTCTGCTCTATTGCATATCAGAATAGATTTGATTAGGAAAAAAACATTTTCATGCACATAATGAATTGTTTTGCCGAAAATCACCAGATTGCCTATATTTACATTTTCAGGATGCGTTACTATCTCATAATTGATACTTCAGCTTCTAGTACTACTGTACTACTACTCACACTACTACTACTACTACTACTACTACTACTACTACTACTACTACTGTATTTCCTTAGGGAAGCTCGGTTCAACTGATCCAGAAAGACAAAATTTATGTTTAAGACGCTTTCTTAGTTTGTTTCCAACAGTAGACTTATTTTACTTAGTGAGTTAGTTTTATCATATTGCTCCAAATTATCATTGACAGGTTGTATGCAAAACTGGTGACAAACTAGCAACATTCAGTGATCAGCCTTTCCATGATACAAAAGTATCCCCCAATTTAAGATCATCTGTCATTCATCTAGTTTTGACGCTAGAAAATTTTTCGGTATCACCTATAGTTTAATAGGTGATCACAGTTTCACTTGTTTACAAATTTGGAACTCTGTTGAACTGGACTGACAAATCTACATGATTGGTTTAGTTTTTATGTATATTAAACTATTTGTACCAGAGTAAAGCTTGCAAAAGATCTAATTGAAAACAATATTGTTCGCTTATATGTCTTGTTCGAATTAGATTTTGTATGCAGATTTGTGAAAGACTGCAGTTATGCTGATAATCTCATTTCTTCTTCATGCTTCTGCTCCTTATAACACTACCACGATTGAATACACTATTTCTTAGTCTAAACGGGGCGTTTGTGTAACATGGTTCATTGAACTAGGGATCTGAGGAAAACTGTTGCTGATTAAACGCCACTAACTCTTCATTGGTTGAATAGTTGATCACTCGTACTTCTGGAGAATGATAATCCTAAAACGTGACTTAAAAATTGGTAGCAGATAATGCTTCAAACAACAATATTTCTATGATACTTATGCGTAAAGGTATCACCACATTTTCATCGGAATGACCATTCATCTGCCGAGAATTCAAGTCAGCACTAACATAGCCATTTGATTAACAGCCACGTATTTTGTCTTATGGACCAATTTTCATCATTTTTGATTTGAGGCAGCAAAACAGGTGGAAAAACATATGGCCAACACTTTGGCATTCGCTCTTCACATGAATCAAACATTTCGTGGATTGTTTGCAATTTGGTTAAGTGTTGTATTTTACCTCTTATATTGGTGATTCAGGTGTCTAACAGTGATACCTGAAAGTTGATCAGAACAAATATCTCCAATCGACATTGGTCATTTCATCACTTTGTGAACATCATAGTTCAACAAATAATTCTGAAAATGGTAAATGTTTTGTTTTTCATAGGTGTCATTTATGATGATCAGCTTGGAATATCTGGGAAGCGTTAAAAAGTCATTTTGAAGACTTACGTGAAAAAATGGAATATTTTGCTGATTATCCGATCCGAAACTATTCATTGCCAACTGCGCCAAAGTTGAAAATAACTATAAGGGAATTCGGTGTTGGTGAAGGTTTGTTAAAATTATTCTATACAACAATTTAATTACGTCGATATTGCTGGCGATTCTAATTAGCAGCTATTTGTATCCCTCAACTGACATATATATATATATATATATATATATATATATATATATATATATATATATATATATATATATGATATATTCGCTTACATCATTGTTAAGAGCGTTAACAGGAGGTACACTAAGTCTTACAACTAGTTTTTTTTATTGTGTAAGCCTGTTAAGAAGTCGCCATGATTGCATATCTAGGTTGTGAGTTAGAATCACTGAAGTACATGCCTGAATTAGGTTACAACAGTGAAGTGTTACTAAAGTTAATAACCAGTAGACATTGAAATTCGCCTTTATTTATCTTTTTTTTCTGCCTGTTTTCTACAAGAATGATATCTAGACAGATTGAGTGGCTTAAGCCTGTACTTTTGAAACGGATTCAGAGAAAAATATTTCATTCTTAGAAAATCTTGAACTCTAATTAAAAATTTATGTATAACGGTACATAACTCAGTAACGGTATAAGTATTCATAGCTACGTAAGGCCTTCTGAGAGTAGAAACAACTAGAAAAAGGAGCATAACGACATGCTTGTTGCAATATGCATAATTTTATTTGAAATACCAGCTTTTGTCAGATAACGATAAAATAGTGTCAAATGGACAGGTAACTTGAAATAGGGTTTTCAGACAGAAAGTTTTAAACATTGATCATCAGGTAGATACCGTTACCTTTATTTGATGGGATCAGATGAAGATGATTACAATAAGTGATGAGTTTACTTGGTGTCAATAAGGAGCAGAATTGAATCATCATGTAAGTGAAATTTGAAACAGCTGAGTGCAGGTATTTGCAATGGATTTTAAAAGAATGATAAGAAGTTACAGTAATTTCTTGAAGCGTGTTTTGCCTGCAGCACAAAATGTGAAATCAAGAACATCATATTTTGCATGCAATGAAAATGTCTCTTTTAGCGTGGATTATTTTTTCTCCTGATTTTAGAGGTTTGAGTGAAAAAATAATCGAAAGTTTCTGTTGTGTTTTATTTCACTTAGACAATAATACACAGTGGTAATATGAATTATAAAGCAAAATCTCTGTCGAATCGTTTGACTTTTTACTACTGAACTCAAACGCTTCTCAAGTGAACTTCTTACATGAAAATTATGTTGATAAGTTTCTCATTATTAAGCTGACGTCGTGTTCTAACAAAACGAGAATGAGCTGTATACTTTCTGAATGATTTCAGTTGGTAGACGTATATGTAACACAAATGAGTAGATAAAACTGCGATGCTCATTGATACAGGAGTACAACTCTGCCACTTTCATCATTTGTGATTCCATTTTAGTTTGTTTATTAGGCATGTCAAAGTGAGGCATCATTATTTACTGGATAACGTTTCAGGTACAATTTATTCAACGTATTCTTATCAAGATATTATTTTTTCAAGGTTATAAAGTTACCTTCATAGGAAACGGGACGATTAATTGTGTTCAAAATGTTATTCCGTAAATAATGCTGTCTTGATGTTCATCCATTAATTTCGTACTCAATTGCTCCACATGTGATTGGTAGACGGAAACTGTACCATAATAGCTGTTCTTACTTCTGTTCTAAATAATAAGACTACTACGTCAGCATTACTCCTAGATTCCTTCCATTTACACTTATAGGGAAAACTACGACTCAGCTTACACTTATTGCAGTGCATCGGAAAAACGGTTGTAGAATGCGAATAACAATAATTTATTTAAACCATTATTCATTTATTTTGCGTTGCTGCCAAGTAATGTTGACCTGTTTTTCTTCGAATTTTTCGCGCCCAGTGTGTAATCTTATCGAGAGTGATGTACACGTGATCATAAGCTTGACAGTTTGCTCTGCGGCACAATTGATAGAATCACAAACTACACCGTATAAAGTAACGCATGTTGCTATACCTCGACCAGCGTGCTCTAAAAGTATTATCACTTCTAGTACCATGGCAGATACAACAACAATATGGATTCAGCCAACACCCGAACGTACTGGCAGAGCAATATATGAACTGAGTGAAATTGAACGTGCTGCACTTGCTCTACTTTTAAGCGATGCAATTAATTGTAAGTGGTTCATTAAAGCGAAGATTCTGTAACTAATAATTAGTCTGGTAGCTTTAATCAATAACACATAACTTTAATCTTTGATTCATGTGTGTTAGGACTGTAGGCTATTCATATTTTTTGAATGTGGTTCCACAAGATTGATAGTTAGCGGAGAACTTTATCTACCCATTTTGATATCATCAGTATGCACATGAGAGATTACCAAGGATTAAATACTAAAAAGACTAACTTTATTCAGTTTTTCGATTCACTTTAACACATTAGTTGATTCAGCATTTCTAAAACAATGTGTAAGATAAATCATATTAGCTTTGATCAAGACAATAAACTTCGATATTATTTTCTATCGGTTCAATGGGATAATAAATACATGAGTATAAGAGGATTCGACGTAAATAACCTGTCTCGATAATTTTTAAATATTCACATCAAAATGTATATGAATTTGAAGGAATGCACACTCGGATCTTCCTCACTAAATACTTGATCAAGATTAGAATGCTAGAATTCTGTATAGATTCCTGGGTCTGGGAGACATCGTAGTCAGTGCATTAATCTTAACTGTAGAACATCTGTTTCCGATACCTGTTCCTCAGAAATGATCACCAAATGTATCTTCACATTGAGCGGCGTTTTATTGTCATTATTTGACCGGAAAATGTGATTTGACTAGCGCTTAAAGGAAAAGGTTTTTGAGAACTATTTCTAGAATGGATTGTTGAAACATGCATTTAGTTTTATAGTTTTAAAATACCTGCGGTGCTTAACAATAAACATAGTCCCTTTACACTTCATCCCTGACAGGTGTTTTGAGTACTTTTACGCAATACAAGTACTTAATTATAATCTCTATGAAAACTTAACTGGTATACTGACAGTAAATGACTGTTGGATTTTGGGTTTAACTATTATAGTTGGAAATGTAAGAGTATCTACATGAGGTTTTCAGTCATTTCATTAACAGTCGCATTATTTTAAATAATTTTGGTGGTCTGTTATATCAGTCTAGGCTTTTCGGTGATCGAATCGACTAGCAATGCTCTCATTGGGGTTTGTTATCAACGAAACTATTCCTTTTTCGGTTGTACTGTTTTTCATTTTTCTGTGTCCTATAGTGGATACCGTTGGCACTCCCTCTGATGCCTAATTTTCCTTTGAGATTTTAGTGTGATCCCATTATGCATTTTCAACGATCATTGCAAATTACCTATTTATATCCTAAATCCATAATGTCTCTACTAGAAAAATGGTTCGGAAAGTTGCTTATCACCGAAAAGTTTGTAAGTCTACTTATGTTACAGGCTTCAATTGAGCTTTCTTCTTTCTTTAGTGTTCTCTATGCTTATCTATATTGTGGGGAAAACTGAAGAAAGATGAAAGCCTGATAATAAGTGAACCAGATAAAGAAGCTGGTATGGTATTAATGGATAAGATCGAATACATTGACCAAATGAACTCACTTCGGGGCGACCAAACAAAGTATCAAAACTTTGTGGCGGTGCACATTTAAACGGTAAGATGGAGAGACAGTTGACAAACTTCTTTAAAGAACTAAGATAAAAGGATATAACTTCTAAGACAATCTTTGAGGCAATTAAACTCACAGGGTGTTACACACCAAGCTTGTATGGCCTACCCATGGTCCACAAACCACAACTTCCTCTTCGTCCGGTTTTAGATTTGTCCGATTCCCCTTATCATAAAATCGCGAAGTGGCTAATCGCAGTTCTACAGCCCCTGCACAAACAGGTTGCCAAGACTAGTGTCAAAGATGTACTCGACTTCATCTCCAATTTAGAAAACTTGAATATGAACGAGAAACATGTGGTATCTTTAGATATTACTTCTTAACTCACTAATGTACCACTTCTCGAAACAGTAGGTTTCATTTGTCAGCAAATAGCAGAAACACAGATTAACGTTGGACTTCCAGAAGCTAACCCAAACAATTACTTCTGAGATGCACCACGAGTGTTCATTTTCTCTTTAATGATACATATTACAAGCAAGTTGATGGAATTGCCATGGGTTCACCATTAGGCCCGATGTTAGCTAATTTGTTTCTTGCTAAACTTGAGAATGGACCACTGAAAGATGTCATCGAAAACCTGCATATGTTTAAACGTTGTATTGACGACACTTTCATCGTCCTTGACTAAAACGTTGACAAAAACGAATTGTTAAGAAAATTCAGTGGCGTGCATCCTTCTCTTACTTTTACTTGTTAAGAAGAACAAGAAAGGATGCTACATTTTTTAGATGTCTTATTGATTATAAGGGAAGAGGGGTCGCTTGGCAGAAGGGTGTACAGAAAGACCACACCTACGGGTCAGTACATACATTTCCTTAGCTTTGTGCTCATTCGATATAAATAGAAATCTAATTCAATGTCTTGTAAACAGAGCTAGTAGGATCTGCTCCAGTGACTTGATACAAAAGGAGTTAGAACACATCCATGATATACTGCTAGAAACAGGTTGCCCCATAGTTTTATCAAAAGATCCATGAACAAAATAAATGGGAAATCTGATCAAATGGTTGTTCAAAAGAAATCTATATTCATGAAGCTACAATTCAAAGGAGACACACTTGGCGAAGTTCTATTCCACAGACTGTCTCCAGCCATCAGAAGAACCTTTTATGCTGCTAACCTCTGCTCATCATTTTCTAGTCGGCCGATAATTGTTGCCCAGACAAAAGACATGCGACCTAGTTCTACCATTCCGATGTGTATTTATCAATTCAGCTGCTCTTGTGGAGAAAGCTATATTGGGCGTACAACTAGGCAGCTTAACAAACGTGGTGTTGAGCATCTACCATCATGGCTAGGAAAGAGACAAGTGAAGTCAATACGAAGTTCAATTCTGTCACATTTAGTCAGCAGTAGTCTCGTAATAGACAAGACCAAAGGCTTCAAGATCATCTATCGTACTCCACAAAATCTTTCGAACAGAATTCGCACTCGCATTTTGTATATAGCTGAAGCAATGGGAATTAGAGAAAACAAACCTAGTCTTTGTGTGCAGAAAAAGTTTGTGCAGTCTTGATCTCTGCCTTGGCCAGAGAAAACCTGATAAATAACTTTATTGAATTTTGAGGGATTTGTGGGATTTGGAAATATTTCAAGTTGTTATTTATCGTGAGCCAACAGAAGTTGGAAATATGGACCATCGGATTCTGACCCAGTGACTCAATGGTAACGTGCTGGCCACGGGACCTGAAGGTCACGGTTTCGATCCCTGGCGGGGTCGTGGGTGCACTCTGCCGAGGAGTCCCTTACTAGGACGAAACAGCTATCCGGTGCACCCAGGTTTCCTTTGTTCCTCCAACTGATCTCAGTCTGCGACGAATAGCAACTTGAAATAACCTTATATAAATTCAATTTTCATCCTCTTCCCCTTTCTTCACCCCTTTCATACATGTTTACTTATTTGTTTAGACTGATTATCTACACATTTCATCCTTAAGTATTACGTAACCTTAATTTTTCTAAGTTTTGATCAACATTGTTTAAATATTTACAGTACCATGCTGTTTCATTGTTCTTATCGCCATTGAAACAACTATTATTATTTCCGCTTGTATGATAATTGTCTAGATATCTACTATTTGCATACTTCATTTCCTAATTACCACAGACTAAATAATCCATCATGATTGGTTTAATGTTTTATATTTGAGAAAATTTATTTATATTAGGGTAAAGCCTGATGAGAGCTAATTGAAAACAGTATAGTTCGCTTTTATGTCTTCTAATTTTGAAGATGAGAATTTTTAACATTATTATAGTTATTGTCATTATTTTCCTACCTGAAATCCACAATTATCCAAACTCAGTTAACCTATCTCCAACCCATTCAATTTTGAATAAGCATTTCTACCCTTTGCATTACCACTTGATTTGTAAAAACTGTTCACTTCTATGTTGTTGCACCTAAATCTGTCTCAGTCTACGTTATATATGTTTAACGGTATTTATAATCAGGTATATTGAGTATGCAGCTGACGAGTACTACTGAAATTTATGAATTCATTAAGTCCAGCTTTTTCACATTCGTTGCTTGTTTTAAATTTGTATCAGGAAACAAATGTTTTAGTATCTTGTTCTTCTTACTGGCGAAGGGATATCATTATTTTTGTCCACTCTAAACTACTGCCACATTCGATATTTATGTGAATCCGATTGGTAATTTAAACATTCGCTGCAATAAAAACATACTAGTCTATGCAGGTGTTTATGTGTAAAAGTTTAGGTGAAGCATAACGGAACATACACAGTACGTGTCAATCGTTCCTCTGTGGTACAGTGGATAGCGCCTTGGTGTTTGAAGCGTTGGTTACGAGTTCCGAGTCTCAACGGGAACAAAACCACTCACGGGTGCAGGTACATCCAGTTAACTAGTCCCAAGTAGAACGGAACGCGAGTACTGGATTCTTCTCCTAGCCACGACCAACCAAATTGTTATTCTTCATCAATCTTTACGCGTCTTTTGAAGTACAAACTAATGACCATGAAGAAACTGTTTTCGGTTGGTTGTTACAGATGACCATTTGGATAGAAAATGGTTCACAGTATGAATGCCAAGAAAATTGTGTGGAATCAGAGATGAAGAATATGCAGCATAGGGAGGTGGTTTACTTGTAGATTCTCAGCGTATCTAATAATTCTAATGAAACGAGGACATCCCACTCATTAGATAGTAGTAGTACCTTATGATATTTTCACCTACCTCTGCCAAGTAATTTGTAAACATTGACGGACTTTTCTAGTTTTCATGATGGAACAATTGTATGAAAGCATAGCATGTTGTATATTGATATCACATTTTAACTGATGAATTTTACGCCATAGAGTTATACCAATCAATCGAGTTGTTATACAAACAGTACTGTTGTTTTCGCTGATAATAACTATAAAAGAACAACTAAAACTGATTTAAAACATACGAGCTAAACTTTATTTCTTGATGACTAATGACTAGGCTCATTTTATTGAGCCTAAAATCTGAACGATCTTCGATATTCTATTCACCATTAGGTGGTGCTAACAGACTACCTGTTAAATATCACAACTTGCTGTACAGCTTACTACACTCAATAATCTCAACTATCTCTCTCAAATAATATTCAGTTTTTGAATTGAGATTTAGTTTTACAACATTTTTTCATGCTTTGGTTATTTTCTTTCTATGGTGTATTCCTATTTAGTGGAAACGAATTCAGTCTTGGATCTGATTTTGCATTCACAAGTGAACAGCGGAAAATTTGTTCCGTACTTTACAACCCAAATTTATTCTAATCACAATCAAACTAATCTATACTACCCAACTTCAAATGATCATATTTCAATGCATAAAACGCTGCAAATGATTCAAAATTTGACGAGTCACACATTATCCAAATTTCTGTTGACTCATGTTTTTCAAGTTCAGACTGAACCACTCGATTTAGCCCAACTATATTCGGTAAGTAATGCCCTCAAAATGAACACGGGATATTAACGAAAATATTGAATTACATGAAACCTAATAACTGGTGTAAGCTTCAAGACAATAGGTATTTTTGCTCCTACGTGTTTAAGACCACTGTTACTTAAAGGACTTTAAAGACCACCCTAACAACCGATGAAATAATCAATCAGATTTTGGAATTTCGGATGTGAAAGTAGGTTTTTCATCAAATAAGAAAAGCAAATGGTTGTCTCAGCAGTTGTTAGGATGTCCTTTAAAGTCAATCTTCAAGGTCTCCCTAATAACTGCTGAAATAGCCAATCAGGTTTCAGTATTTCACCCACGATGGTGGTTTTTTATGAAATACAGAAACGCAATTGGTTGTTCCAAAAGCTGTTAGGGCGGCTATTAAGGGTAATCCCTTTACCATGCTTTACTATGGGGCCCAGTTACTAGTATGGTTCCAGATTCATCTTAGGCACTGTGAATTTTATCTAACTTTTATGTAAATTAGAGCCATTCATTACCCTTTTTTATTAAGCTATTTGCTCAACTTGGATTTGTCAGTTGTATCGAAATCAGGTATTTTGTTAAGCCAATTACTAATCAATCAACTGTCCTTCGTGTTCAGTCTGTAAGACCACCGTGACAGCTAATGAAATAATCAATTAGATTTGTTTATTACTTTTGAAAGCTGTGTTTTCTTAAAACGACAGGTATAAGGTGACTTTAAAGGCCACCCTAGCAACTCCTAAAAAAACCGGTTGAGTTTCTTTATTTTGTGAAAAACTTCTTTTCCAACTGGAATACTAAAATCTAATTGATTGTTTCAGCAGTTGCTGGGGCGATCATTTAAGTCACAGCTAACCGATTATTTCGAATTACTTTAGAATCCATGTTAGCGACTGCTGAAATATTCGATCAAGTTTCGGTATTTCAGCCGGGATGATAGTTTTCCATAAAATAAAGGAACTTAATTGGTCATTTAAGTTGTTGCTATGGTGACCTTTAAAGCCACTCATTATTTTAACAGTAACTAGGGTGACCTTTGTATTGATCTGAGTCCAAGTAGATGAGCTCGATTAAGTAACTTCTAAGCCACATAACAGAGAAAGAAAAGTGTTATGCGAATTAAACAAGTTTATTTGACGTATTTTTAATCGTTAGGATATGGAGTTATACTTAACCACAGTGTCAAAATTCTACTCTTAGAGTAACAGTTATAAATGATTTGAAGTTAATTCACCTATGAATAGTGGTAGCTGTTCATAGACCACATGGCTACCTTCATGACCGTAATTTTGAACTGGTGGACATGTTTTCAGCGGGACTGTAGTTTTTTAGAATTCGGTCATCCTACCCATTACAGGAAGTATGCAAACAAGATTCACAGCCTCCTTGTTCGAACCTAGAAATAAATATTTATTATGTTTTCTTCACTTCCATCATTTTCAAGTCACATAACTTTCTGCTGTCTTAGTGTTAAATTAACGCCATTATATCCTCTTGTAGACTTCAATTTTAAATATTCTATGATGAGTAACTGTAGAATATAGTTGATTGGATTGAGTACTACCACCGGTTAACAGCGTCTACAGGAATATCATGAAATTCTCCAGTTCGTTTCTCGAAGTTTCACTTATGCATGCAACAAACACATTAAACGGCATCTAAGAAAGAATTAGGTAAATAAAGTTACGTTTCCCTTTTTGAGATCTGTTTTCAACTATCACTGAACAACTGCATGCAGTTTACTGTGGTAGTGTCTAGTGAATAGTGAAGTACAATTCTACATTTATTGTCAGGAATTTTTCGAAAGTGGCAAATAGTTAATAGCACCAAAGAAAATTAAGCGGTCAACATAAGCGTCATAACTAGAAGTGATAAGATGTCAAAGCGTTCAAACTGCTGAACGGAACATAAGTTTTCTTAGGACGAGCACGGCGGTAATCCTATGTATTTTTTTCTGTAAACTAATAAAAATTATTAGAGTAGAAGAATAGGGAACTATGACTGTTTTCGAGATGTTTCCCAGACACTTGAACAGGAATAAATCAGACAGAGCTAAGAATTTTCGAGGTATTTCGTCAAAATTACTGTGTACTAGATTTATAACCTTGGATTATTGTCACGGTATATTTTGAATGACCAAAAATAGCAATTAAAACATTACTGAATAACCTTTCAACAATTTGTCCAATAAGATCAGAAAATTAATGAGCGTATAATATCAACTGACTACTGAAATTTTTACTTTCCTTTGTTCATGGACTGGACTAATATTAGTTTGACTTATTACAATGTAATGCAACCTATGGCAAAATTGTTCGTTTACTACAAGAAACACCTATTCTACTATTCATTTATTCTAACCTCTTTTTCCGAGTCTTCTTAGGAATTAGAACTAGATATTTTGCTTTATTTCATATTTTTTGATATACCAGTGAATGTCTTACTTCAATTCCGTTTTCAGTCTGTTTATAAGAAATTTCACAAAGTGAAACAGTATCATTTACTGGATAACGTTTTGGACATAGTTTATTAACCATATTCATACCATATAGAATTACAATATACCCCAGTGCCCAAGTTTTTCTCCAACATTAGTCTTACTTCAATGTTTACTAAACTTTGTTCAAGAACACAAAATTACTTATTTCGTTTATTGGTTGTCTGATGTGCTCATGCGCTTTGATATTGAGTTTTTACAAATAAATGAATAAATAAATAATAATAAATAATACTAGCTTTATTCAAAATAATATGTTTGACACAGTATGGAATTCTCAGCATGTAACATTTTAGCAGATTCACTCCCAAAATAATATTTTCAAACAAAATGTATCATGTTTATAGCAACAGCTTTACAGGCAATAGTGTGGAGCAGCCGGCTGGTTTCGCATTAGCGTCCTGTGTTTAGTGGTGGTGGTTCATTCAGCATAGGGATATGATGTATTTTTATCCATTCAAAAGTTCATTCCCATGTAATATGGCATTTTTCCCTCGAAGAACAGCTGCTTTCGAACATTTTAAAAATCCCCAAGAGCACGTGATTCGTTTGACAGATTAACACAAACTGAGAGGGGAGAATTTTATACGATATATCGGGTGGAAAATTTTATTGGTAGCCCAAAGTTCAATCAGGCCACCAGTTGTTGTGATGTGAGTGGAGACAGCTGTCGGGTTAATGAATAAATGGATTTCATTTATGCTATTACAAATTTGGTACATGATTCAAATAGTAAGCTATTGTAATGCAATATTTATGGAGTTAGTGTTTTTGAAAACAGCCTCTGTTTAGGCAACCAAACAACATGTAGAAACAAGGAAACATTTTCACTCGATCACACAAAAATTATTATTTACTTGCATATTTTTGCATCACAAAATAAAACAGTAAATACTCTTCTAACCTGTTACATCAGTCCCATTGTGTCTTGAACTGTATGCATGTATCAGTGTACTACAATATACCAAGATAACGTGTTCCTAAGACATAAAGTGTTATTCCTTATTACCTGAAAAATATGTAGTTCTACTTATCTTTATTCCGTGTACAGTACGCAGGGAGACTTGTAAATCTAACTCTGAACAACACAAAAAATGTCAGTTATACACTTTAGAAAGGGACAAAAACAAAGTGATCGCCAAAACAGCTACTTCTACACTAATGAATGAGTAGACAAGTGTATTGATTGGTCACGGGAGTGCAACCAATTTCATGTTGTCTAGTCCTGAGTGCAGATCGAATTCTATCGATTACATTTGCAATGTGGCAACCAAGCTAGGAAGCTCAACATCGCGGGTGACGCGGGTTCGAATCTCAGGCAGGACATCAGTTCCGTCGAGGTTGCAGATACGCCTTGCTGACGAATGCAAAAAGCACGAAACCTAGGTCCAGGGCTTCCTGCCGATTGCCTCCAACCAACTGAGATCTAATAATGAGTAGACAGGTAATTGCTGGGAAAACATTCGCCAATAAAAGGCAAACAATGAAGTTTGAGTTTCACAAACCAATGACTCTAACCACCCACCATTAACTGATTAATTTGCTGAAAAATTACTTTAACTGAAAAGAAATTGGTTGTATACGTATTTTCATTCGGATTTCCTCACAGTGTTTGGTTTATACGGAATATTATAGGCTCAAAAACATATTAACTGATTACTTGAATTTGAGCATTGACGCTTTTGATGTTATATATTCGTAGTACTTCAACAGGAAACCCTGAACATAGAATTCATGCATACTGGCTCTTATCAACTAGACTTTTCCTCAACCATCAGAAAAGTGGAATTCTGCTGAAAATCCGACGTAAAACACTCAGTGATGAAGTCGGAAACTGAACTATTTAGTTGTTAGGCCAGTAATAAGGCACTTTAAGGGTGGAGTATACACCACTAATTCTTGTAATTATTGTATAAAACAAAGTGGGGAGAAATAACGAGTATCTATTAAAAAAATATTGCAGAAAGTGAGGACAGAACTTGAAGAATAAAACAGATTATAATAACGAGTTAGTGAGGAAAACGAAGACTTACGAGTAAAAATGAAAAATAAATTGAAAATGTTATTCCAAAAGTGACTACCACAAGCATCGATGTTAATGCTTCTTCTGTCATCAAATGAATGAGTTATTTGAGTTTCCAGTAAGTGAAAGGCGGTGGTATGGCAACAGAATGTACAAGTCATCAATGTACTCACCATCGTTGCTGCATGACTAATTCAAATACCAGTCTCAGCTTCTAAAAAATTAATTCATGATGAAAGTGAGGGGTATTCACCGAAAAGTTGATTCAGCGTACTGAATTTTGCTTTACTCTATTAAATGACGCTAAATTCCACTCATTACATTGACCACTACTCATAAGTTGTGCAAAAAAGATTTTGCTTTACATTTGGTAGGACCATCCTAACAATGCACACCACATAAATAATTCATTAACTTGAACAAATGAGAAATATTTGATTTCAGGTGGTTTGATGAATACCTAAAACTGATTCAGATGACTTTATGTTTCTTCTGGAAGATTACGTTTACTAGTGGGTGTGGTTGTAGGTCATCTAAACAGATCGGTAATTCCTATAACTCGGTTACTATCAGGTTCATGGTTTGATGTGAATATTAAGAATCAAAATAGGTCACACAACTTATCGGTATAATAAGATCAGGTGAACGATTTTACTTTGTCAAGTGGAAAATAGTGACAAGCCAGTAAAACATCCTCTTATTGCTTAACTCATTATGATCTGACTAGTAGGTATGCCAGATTTTTGCTTAGAAAACTGAATTCAAAAGTAATTTAGTGTCTTAGCTGTGTAAAATCGATTTTTAGTGGATGTCATAAATATCTGTACCACTTATAAATTTCATAAAAAACACCTTACAACTTTAACTGATATATGTTCAATATTTCAGAGACCATTGGTATTTTACTGTTTTTTCATTTTAATTGTTCACAGATATTCCAGAACAGATATATATTTAAGAATTTCTACTGGATTTTCGCTACAACATTAACTACGACACCAAACGAATTAATCCGTGTAGCAATGACCAATCAGAAAGAAAAGGTTGCAGCAGGGTTTTTCCGACAATTCCCCATACTGAATGAGGAGGATTGTTTAAACAGTGATATCCAGCAGAATATGCGATTACTAATGCAAGAAATGTTCCAGTGCAATACAAACAATATAACTGTAAGCTAAAGATAATTTCTTTTTTTTTAGAAGAAATTAATTTTATTCATACATGTGGAACCACGCAAAAGTGATCAGATGTTTGTTGCTAGTTTTCATGACAAACAATCAGTTGCAACAATTAACAGTTGCGTGTTAATTCGAGTAGTACTGTCAGTACGTACAGTTTGTTTCAATCCAAGAAGGAACATCTGCATGGTGCAACCAAAATCATTTATTACATCGCGAAAATGTAATAATTTTTCATCGATCTGTAAGAGTTCCTTGAATTCCCTTTTTTTATTACTTTGAAATTGTATAGGAAGTAATCTTATTTGTCTTAAAGCTCAAATAGCACAATTAATTATTGTATCATTCGTAGCTACTCTAAGTACTAAATGTTAAGTTAGTTCCTAATCAAGACATTTTCCATAGAAATTATTGAAGGTAACCTTTTCACCCTACCCACATAAATTTTGAACTCAGCCTTGAGTGGTCGAGAAGGCTTGCAATATTCTACTACATCTAGTTAAGGGATTTATCTAACTCAGTGCATCTTACAATTGAAATCTGTGTTGTTTGTTACTTTCAACATGAGTTGTTAAAACAGTCTTAAGTTGATGAATTTATATTGAAGGTTTTCTCCTAATCACTTATGCATTTTCTTTTCCATCTATGAATGAAAAAGAAGATAATTTCTCATGACTATTTTGCGTTCTGTAGTTTAGCTTCTGGTTTGTTTAAATTGCTCATTCTACTTAACCTAAAAATGTTAAAATTCTAGCTGATACAGCAGCTGGAATAGCCATTTGAGAGTATATATATATATATATATATATATATATATATATATATATATATATATATATATATATATATATATATATACGGTTACATGATTCCAGGTGTTTGTGATTCTTTTGAATTGAAGGAATTCCTCGCTGGGTGATAGTTGGTGAAGTTGTCAGGTCCGAAGTGTTAATTTTAGTTACTTTTTCAAGCTTTGTATGTGGACATTGAGTGTCCTAATTAAATGAGATAATTGTAGCTTGTTAGTGATTATTTTTTTTAATCTTCTCTTGTTGAGGTTGCATAGAAACTCTTTAGAATATTGTAAGGATATCAATTTAGCCAATTATCATCGTCTATGCACGTAATAGCTGAGAAAGTAGAAATGAATTTTAAAACAAAGTACAGTTTTTGAAGTAACATCCGTGATTGCTTCATGGTGCTTGACGTTTCCAAACATGACAGTCCAATCATATTGAAGTGCATGATTGAGAAAAATACTTGATGAGAATTGTGACACTATCCGTTGATGAAACAAACTGTTTTACATCCATCCATATAATCAAAATGAGGAAATCATGGAGTTTCATTATATGAAGTAAACTGAAGTTATTTTATTTGATATTTTAGCTTACTGGTCAGTACTCACATATACAGTAAATGTGGGTGCATAAAAATGATTCTAAAATATACTCATATATTCTATTAATTCATCATAATTCGAAGGCTTTTCTTGCATTTCAGGAACGTGAACTGCAAGCTGTTTATATGATACTCTTGTCGAGTCAAGCATCAATTTTAATAAAAAGCCTTTCGTTGGATATATTAAGTTCGCCACCAATTCAAAACTGTGGCTCTGATACCATTCAGCGTAGACCTCTTGGTCAATTATTTTACAGGATTCTTCTCAATGTAAAACAGTTATTTTTAAAATTTAATGCTTATTATATTACTTAGTTGGTTATATCATCATTTATTAATTTGCAGTTTATGATGAATTCAGGAGCCTGATTTCATAGAAATTGAACATGTACAACTTTCTTACACCCAAATAAGTTGTAGTGAAAATGTAAAGCTTAAAACTAATAGAACTGTGATGAGGAGGGTTATTTGATTTCTCAGCTATTCATGTGCAACTGGATAATACAACAATTCAATACACAATGTGGAGTCTCTGCCAAAGTTTATGATCCTGATAAACAATTCTAAAGGTAGGTTATGCTGACAACCACAAGCTACTGCCCGCAGAAAAGAAGTAGAAGCATTAAGCACATCCAATTATTGATACAGTAGCATTGCTATCACTTAAAAGCTAACTCCGTTACACATATCCGAATCCAATCGCTGTGGAAACCGAAAATGAGACGGAAATTTGTGGAAGAAACTCTAAGTTATGTAAAAAAAGTAGCGTTACTACAGCTATATCAGTTATTTGATTTAGTGAAGTTCATCATCTTAATAAGCTTCAAGTTTGTGAGGCACCACAGAGGACAATTAAAAATCTAACAGCCTAATGTCAACTTTCAGACTAACTACGCTGGAAGCATTGTTAGCTTACCTTTCTTCATCAGCTGGTTACAAGGAAAAATCCCTGGCAGACCTCAGACACCTATTTCGTTATTGAGTACCAACTCCCTTATTCAGCCACCTATTAGTCAATCCTACTGCCATGCACCTAAGATTGTATAGACTCCTAGTTTTAGATTTTGCTGGATGATATTCATTCTTAGATCACTTAATGCAATAAATTTTTAAAACAAACTGGGCTGTTTTAATGTTCAGAAATACCAAATGCTTAGTTGTTGCGTTTAACTTTTTTATAAAAAGAAAGCTTTCTCGAAAAAAAATAGTTAAGTGTTGCATTGAGAAAAAAAGTTCACTGCTGAGCTGCAAAAAAGTATCAGCTACTTTACTTCTCAAAACCATGGAATTTATAGCAGCTTACATGAGAAAATGCATTCAAAGGAGGAAAATAAAGAGAATGAGATATATTTTTCACAGCATTCCGTTTTTTGAAGCCATCAGAAAATGTTTCAACTGGTAGGAGAAAAAATTCAGCACAAAATTCGGAGAACAAGTTAACGTAAGTGGTGAATTTATCGCGAAGAGCTCCAATGTCAAGAAATAAAATAAAGAAACCAGTGCACACGTTTAATCTGCTAATTTACTTTCATTTCAAAGTAGATTCCTTCAGTATCGTCTTCATAATCATCACAGACAATCTTAGTACTTTAAGTGAGTAACTCCTGAAGTAGTAAAACACTGAGCATGTCTATCTATACACATATCAATATTTTGTTTCCTTTGCACGCTCCTCTTGAAAGTAATTATAGGTGGATTAGTACCGTATCACTTTTCAACTTGACCACCATGTTTTGGGACTAAATCACAGTATATATGACGATTGTGGTGTTTTGCCTGACATTATACTAAAAAACAGATACTTTAAGGCCTTTCAGAAGCTAACTTGACGATTTATAAAAGACTATCTGACTGTTAAGCAAATAGACTGACCAAGTTTCATTGAAATTGGTCTTAGACCGATTCGTCAGGATTATGCCGGCTGCATTTACACTAACCATTAACAGATTTTCTTTGTTATGTATGCTACTTGTAAGTTTGAGTTCCTGAAGCATATACTCAAAACCATTTTTCCTGTCATGGTGCACCATTCTAAAATTCGTCCTACTAGGGAACTTCTCGGATAGGCTGACCACTAGCTGCCATATTAGTAGGTGATAGAAGACTGAAACTACTCTCACAATATTTGAATAGAATTTTAATAATCTGTTAACTGTGCTCTTGTTTGATAACTGTACGTCAATACATACAAATTTGAATTCAGTGATGATGAGATTTCAAAAGTTACCAAGGAATATGCTATGGAAGTAAGAACATTTCATTAGACCGCACTCGAAATCAATGTAGTCAACTTGATCTTGTAATCAAGATATTAGCAATGAGCGAAGGATTCCTGCATCAAATGAGAGAGGATTAATGTAGTCATGAAACTACAGAAGATAGTGTTATTTATCTTTCCTATCTTCCAGTGCTCACAAACCAATACAAGATATGTTGTGACTATATTTAAGGCAATTAGGTTAATGCCCACACTCTTCTGGAAATAGACTGATCGATTTGCAAATTATGTACGAATTGCATGGTCGACGTCAACATTCTTATAGATGAGTAGTTTTTTAACTGCTCAACTATAGTGTCAACACGGTTTCCATTGAAGGCGAAGATCCCAATGTATGATCTCCGACACAAAAGTTTCATGAATTTACGAAATATACTATTGAAAAACACGAATGTTTAGAAACTGTTCACGTTGATCTGTTGATTTCACTAATCGTATCAAGTGATCTAAACACTAAATGGCCCTTTGCCGTCATTTGAGGCTGATTCCGTCTAGGTAAACCAGTGATAAACTCCACCTTAAGGATGCAAAATGGCGGTCTAGTGTTTATATCACAGTGATCGCGCGGGCGAAATCTACAGATCAGAGTGAGTGGTTTCTTGTGACTCATGCTGTTCAGTAGAGTATTTCCAGAATTAACTTTATTGGTTTCTTTAAAAGTAAAATCATTTTGAATCCTGGTAAAATTAGAAATTTGCATGTAACCCAGTTGTTCAAGCACGCCAAAATAAGCTGGATTATCTATTCCATAGTTTAGTTTAGGAGCATCTTTATGATTATATACCAGTGTAGAGTGGTTTCATGTGGAAAATTTTACAAATTCAATTCAAAGAATTCCTCAGGTAATTACATTGATCTCTTGACTGACATGTAATATATGTGTGTAGGTTAGGACATCCTAAATTTCACTTTTTTACTGAACACTTTGATGTTGTACAACCAGCTTCATTAAAGATTTCAATAACTTGCAAGAGGCAGAAGGCAGACTTAGGTTGTTGCATTGGTAAGATTTCACGAACTTCATTTTCATGAAATCCTCATTACATGAATTTTCTCATGCGAATAAAATTCAGCTCAACACATGATAATACATACTAAATATAAGATTATTCAAATCATTAGAAGGATAATTTTGAAAAAAATACCCTTCAGCACATATGATATTTCTCTGAACTAGATAAAACCGGAAGACTTTTGGTAAATGGTGCGTTCAGATTTTAGAAGTATGTACTTATTCCGTATTAGATTGTTTATTTGACATAACAAACAGTTATAGAGTATTAGTTACTGAACAACAGTTAGAACAGAATTTATTGCTCATAATCATATCAAAGTAATCAGACGACTTTCAAACTCCACATATATAGTCCACCATTTCTTCATTCTTTCACTTTAATGATAGTAAAATTTTCGAAATATTTGTGATAAGTGATGAATCATTCATGCCACATGTGTTATGTGTTGGTTCAGTGAACCAAGATTCTGTAATCAATCTCTCCCTCCAATTAGGTAAATTGGACTTTGAGTTGTTACCGTATTGTATGGCATGATTATGGTTCAGTGTACGGAAAGCGACAGCTGAGTTTTCTCCAAATTATTTATCTTACCAGAGTTATCAATGCATGTTTCGTTAAATTTTTGTTAAGAGATAAACCCTCAGTGAATTCATTCACTTAACTGTGGAGTCGCATTTGTAAACAATTTTTTTGGTGAGAATGCGTAATTTATTTGTCGTGCCAAAGCAGTTTGTTAGACATGGCAACAAGCTGACACACATATAAAGTAATCAAATATCTGTTAGTTTTAAAAGTAATCAGAAGGTATAGTAGCAACCAAAGTTAAATTGTTATGACATAAAATATGGGATTGCTAAGATGTCATAGAAATTAAGTAAAGATGATGCAAGCAATAACACTAAAAGATGATAGAGTTTGAATAACGATACGTATATCATGACAAAATACCATTGAATGAGTTATAATCACGGTAGGTATAGAAACAAGGAGTAGTTGATGACGTTAATGGAAAGAAGACTTGTAAGGAGAGGCTGGAAAAGCTTGAAGAACGCTCAAGATTAAGACCATCAAGAGAACAAGGGTTGAACAAGTCTGTTTTGTATTCCAAGCTCCGGTTTTTCGAGTGGAGTTGCTAAACCTTCAGCAATACATAGGAGGTGGATGCGCGCTGACTTTTGCAAGCTTTTTTCCACTCTCTAAATAACCTCGAAGGAATTGGTTATTGAAAATGTATGACCGGTATCTATTAGGTGTTTCTGTGCTCCACTATTCTGGCTGTCCCTAATCAGTTGTGCTTTATCAAATAAACAGTCTAATACGGAATGATGCTCTAACACAACCCCAAGGTTTTACTCTTATGTTTATATACTTATTCACTTCATGTATCCCAAAATTTTTCCACTTTCTATCGCTAATTTAGAATTTAGGAAATGGTAATATCTGTTAATATACTCACTACTACAGTGACTGAGTTATAATTTCAGCAGTCTAAAGATTAACTGTGTTATGAATAAAATCTCCGGGAAAACATTGATAAAAATACTTTGAAAAAAATGCATACCTCTTCAGTCACTTTATCGGTTCAGTCTGTTAAGCTCAGTAGTTTGACAGAAAATACACATAGCTGGAACTTTATGGATGGTCACCTTAGGTGAAGTGTCGAATAAGCTATTAAGCCGATTGTGTATTTCCAAATTATATTTTCCCAGGAAATTCACCTCTTGTTCACAACTTGTTGAGGAAGCAAAACTAAACTTCCGCAAATATTACCTTGAATGCTTGCATACTAGTAAGTGTACAGTGATGTTACAGAAAGAATTGTTATATAATTGTTTAAGTATTACTTAAGTGTATATTTAATTCAAAAGATGCAGATAGTTTCAAAGCACTGGAACCTATACATTCCATATTAGCCTTTCCTTTCCGAGACTACTAACAATTTCCGTGGTTTATTCATCGAGTTTGCAGAAGGTGAATATCACTTATATCCATAAGCCAGAAAACTTTCTTTCAGGAGGGATTTAAGTATTGGTGATAAGCAATTATCTTTTTGTTCACTTGAAGCCTTGTACAGTTAACTGAGATGAGCTATCCATACACACTGTGAAGCACTTCAAAATGTTATTCATTTGGTTGTATCAGTCTGCATCTAAATTATACTCTGTAAGGTGTGAGTAGTTTTATCAGTTACCTTTATTATCGTCTTTTCACTTTTGTATTCCAGCTTGCAGAATTACCGAAATGGAGAAACCTACTCTTTTATTCACTAGAGACAGATGCAACAGGAAACACTAGATTTTTTGTTACTGGAAATTTCAGTGAGGATGGTGATTCTAAATTGAACGATCGTGCGAAGCTTGTTGCAAAGCAAAGCCTTTTAAGTGGTTTATTTCCAAATGTCTTTCGAACATTTCAGAATCAAACTATAAACGTTTCAACAGTACTAGTAAGTGCTACGTATCGTCTTATTAACAGGAACAATAATGTCTAAGTCCTACACCTAATATATCTGTATGATAAGTATTTCCTTTCTGACTTTATATCTAAGTTATCATACAACTTTGCATGAAGTAGACAGCAAGACGTTTTTAAGTGCAATGTAGGTTTAGAATTGGTTACAAGCCATACGGCTTACATCACCTGTAAACCCTGAATATTTCTAGCACCTATGAGAATTCTACTTGTTTTAAGGGAATCAGTTAGCCAATATTCAATATGCTGGTAGCACACTTCAGAAGTGTTTTATGTTAGCGAACAATTCATCAAACATTTAGGACAAACTTGATCTTATGACAAAATATTCAGATAAGCTTTAATCACTATTGATACCTCACGAATGTTTTGCATCAGGTAAAGTAAAACCCAGTGTTTTACTCGTCACATTGATCAAAGAAGTCAGCAAACAGATTGGAAATTAGACTTATACCACAAACCTAGCATTATTATCTTCTATATCTTTCACTTTTGGAAAATCAAGATAAGATTCCAAACATTTAAAGTTTCAAATAACATTAATAAGATGCAATAATCTGAACGAAGAATATCCTTTTCAATAAATTCGCATCAGGTTCTAAAGTTACAAGATGCATTTGTACAGCGCAAAGACAAGCCAAGCTAGCGGCAAATGCATTTTTAAAATGGGGTGATATTTAAGGACTGTAAAGAAACGGCTTTTCTTTTAAATTTCTCAATATTGTGATACCATATGTATAGATGAATGATGTGATAGTTAATTATAAGACAGAGAACAAAGAAGGCAGCAGTGGCCTTTGGTTAACTGAAGGTCAAGGGGGGTATAACTCTTGAATATGTTCTTTCTGAATGCAGAGTTCGGGTTGATCAGCCTTAATGTGACAGCCTCTGCTATGTTGAGGAGGCGTTGGTAAGCTAAACATGATATTGTTTTTGGAATACAAAAAATGAATGACAGTTAAAGCTTTAGTAGCGTCTATGTGGTACCCTGTTTCAACTAGGTGGGCTAGGACGGAACTTTTCATCACTTTCACTTCACCTTCTCTGGAACAAGCTGGTAAATGCCTTCGCATCCAGACATCCAGCTGCCTAAACGTGAGCCTCTTATAACCTGCTCCACTGGAACAGTTAAACTGATAATTGCAAGATTAAGAGCTAAGATTGGGAAGCTATCCTTTGGTCTCGGACAGGGAATTGGCTGACCGCTAAAAGATATGCGAAGATGACCTGCATAAAACGTTCTATTGACTGCTCTAGCTTCGTGTTGCCAGATAAAATGTAACTCTTATTGTCTCGAAGATTAAAAGAGTATATATCAATTTACAAGAAATGCTTAAACTGTAGGGTTATTAAAGGATTATGGATGTGTTTTTTCTTTATTTAATCCATTAAGATACATTTCTACCTTGAAAATAAAAATTTATTGAGCCCGAGACTAAATAAAGTGAGTAAATTCACAGGTGATGCTGACAATCACAACATTGTGGATTATTATGAATACTTGACTGCTTTCATTCGAATGATGAATTTATAATCCAAATAGTTTGATAAGTTGAGAACAAGAAATGTAACTAGTTAAGAAGTCTTCAGTTAAGTAGATCTCAAATAGGTTATCTTAACACAACGTGGGGTTCAAGTTAATTAGTATTTGTGATTTTACGCAATGTTTACTCGACTTTCAGCACTACATAACAGAATAACCACAGCATCAACCAACGTTAAAGGCTTTCATAAAAATTTAATCAAATTAAAAAGCATAAACACTTCAGGAAACAAATTTATTTTCTATCTATATCAGGCAAACGAGATGGAATTTCATCGATGTGGCTCATCTTATAACTTCTTAGTGTTCATTGATTAAAGTGTATGTGATTGTGGCGAAGTGGTTTCCAGAAATGTTTAGGGTATTAGTGATGTTGAATACTGCTGTCTAGAAAACGAATCTCATTCTTCTCTAAAGCAAGATCATTCAGTTCCTTCTTTAAAAGAAAGCAAACACTCTGTAGAGGTGAATGAACTCAACGGTTTCCTACATAACTCGGTCAAGCTTGCTTCAGCAAAGAATAAGATTCGTTTTTAGAGAACCATATTCAACATCACTAATACCCTAAAAATTTCTAGGAATCACTTCGCCACAATCATAAACGCTTAAACCAATGGACACTCAGACATTACAAGATGAGTCACACCGATGAAATTCCATCTCGTTTGCCGTAAATAGATGGAAAATAAATTTGTTCACTGGAGTCTTTCCTGTTTTATGACACAGTGGGATTATCTAAATTAAAAAAGTAGTCAGCACAGATCTAGGACGTTTTCATTAATAAGCTTTTCTTAAAAATACAAACTGCTTGTAAAATGATTTCATTTCTGGTCACTAAATTCATTTAAGACTGACGTAACTACTAGGCTGCAGTAATATAGCTGGATTGAAAGTAGTGGTAGATCTTTTCTAGCTTACTGTAAAAATACGTTGCGACAAAATATATTGTTACTTCAAGCATAGCCGGGCGAAAATGAATGCTGATGTTTTATGTGATCTCCAACAATGCTCGAGGGTTGTCGCCATACCTGTATGACCGTAAGATCAAGTTTACTGGGGTATTTCCAGTAAAGGTGATTAACAAGTAAATGCCCAAGTTTACTACACAGTCCTCTGCAGAATTTGTTTTTATCTCACTGAAAATAACGGTGATGAGATTTTTCCTCATCCGGTGTGTATCTAAATTGTATGCTTTTTGGTTGAGGTCCCTGACTCACTTCATACGTACTTAAATATCCACGCGCTTAAGCCTACAAAATGTAATTTCACCTACTCAGTAATTGTAACTTTCTATTTTAGTGAGTAGAGTTTCAAGAAAACCAAAACTTTTACAAAATTCAAATAAGCAACCTCCTTCAGCAGCGACAAAACATGACTTTTCGCCTTCACCAAATTAACCAGGTGTGTTGTGTAGCTGCCATATCGGTGTTAGTCATGCACTTGATAGCTTTTGATTGCACTGGTTTCCTAATTAGGCTTTGTTATTCCAGTTAAAAATCAAACGGAATTCACATAATGTACTGTTGACGGACACGAGTAGTTCTAGGTCACTCACACCAATCATCAGTGCTCACTAACTAGATCAAGGTGATCTACGCACCCGACAGCTGTTTTATGGACCATTGTGAGTGGTCCAGAACTATTCATATCATTCAGCGGCATACTGTGTGCAGCTTCGTGTTCTGGGTCTTGTCACCAACGGTATTGTTTGTGGATCATATGATTTGATCTGAATGTTTTGGTTTCCATAGGAAACTATGGTGAGATTTCTCATCATCTGTTTTGATTCAAAAAGAACTTAGTTGGTGAAGTAAGTGACTGACCTGTAACAATGCTTGCGATGATTGATAACTTCAGTCGTTTTATTATCTTCATGTTATTATTATTCTTAAATATAAAGTAGTTTCCTCATTTGTTTTTGTATAACCTAGGAAGCTCCATATGTTATGGGTGGTAAGGTAACTGAAAACCTTGAAATACTGGATGCGAAAGGTCTGGTGATAGATATATTAAATGAATTCGCGCATCGGCTTGAATTTCGGTAGGTTGAAAGCTTTTTCTAAAAAACTGTTTGGGTAACCACATTTTGTTTGTGAATTGCTTTTATTCGAACGTTTGCGAAAAACAGAAAATAATTAGTGGGACTGTTTTATAAATGGATATATATCTCCTATGCTACAAAACAACATAGAATCAAGATACTGGCCTCTGAAGAAAGGTAATCGTTTGCATAAACTGCTGCTTTCCAATAAGAAAGACTGGATGCAAAGTATTCAAACATATTTCACAGGTTTACCAAATGGAAGAGAGTTTTATCTTTTGATCACCTTGACATTAAGAAAGAGTAAAATTAATCGCATCAATAAATGTGAGTCATAAATTTCAGCCTATAAAAGATGGAAATAATTGTTTTTAAAAAATGAGAAAAACTCCTAATCAGTTATCATTAGTGTTCAGTTTGTCAGTTAAGTAAAATGGAACACCTGTCTTGGAATAGCATTTAGAAAATAATTTTAAAAAATATACTCATATTAGAATGTTCAACAGTCTTTAATAGTGACAAGGTGAAAGTCCTTTTATATACATTTTGAGCTATGTTTTACCTCAGAGAGAACTTCATTTATTGAACAGAGGATTTATAATACTACCGATCTACAAGAACCACATATTGCTTCTAGAAGTAAAAATAATACGCCAATTAAAAATGTTATTTTATCATCACGATATCTGACTTGTCAAAGCTAAAAACAATATCACTACTGTTTCACGATAACATGAGAAAAAGAAGATTCATAATTATTGAAACTTGATCATAATACATGTCGGCATTGTTGTAATTTCCAAGCAGACTGAATACACTTTATATGCGGAGAATGCAAGAAAATACTTTATTTTCTGATTACTTTTGAATCTTGCGCATAACATATAAAAAGGTGAGCACATTCCAGGGGGAAATTCAGTAACCGGTTAATTTAGCTAAAGTGAAATTCCAATGATTATAAATTGCTTTCAGACTAAGGTGTCAACTTTTTAACCTCATCAATAACAGGAATTTATTAACTACAGTTTAGAGAAAGCATAGAAGTGAGCCTAATTTTCCTGTAAGATGAAAATATCTAGTAGATGTATCCATTTGACAAATATGTTATGAATGCGCCTGCAATTGACTATGACATACACAGCGCAGAATGCTTTAAGATCACATTTTTAACGAGTCTTAGACGGATTTTGCAATTAATGTAGCAAATTTTGTCGAATTTTCAATTAATCACTATGATATTCTAAAATTTGAATGACAGATTTCTTATTGTACCGTATTTTACTTCAAAGGAGCAAAGGAACTGCAAATAAAGCTAGGCGTACTCATTCACTTATTGATAACGTGCAACTTTGGTACTTTAACTTATTGCTAAGGTCAAGTATGATTTCTTATTTGTTCTCGTAATGAGTATTTCACTCACGGAAAAATATTAATAACTAACTTTATACTGAAGTTAGTGCTGATGATGTCATCTAGAAAGAAGATGAAAGCTTCACAATTAAACAACCCAGCTCAGAGAACACAATGCAACCAAGTATTTCAACTTTATTTTCATAAATGTAGAGTGTTAACATAAAAAATGCGTCATATTTAGCAAGTTTTAACACACTATGTTTCACAAAATCTTAAGGTAACGTACCAAATTAAAAAATATAGTATGATTAAGTGATATTTGATCAAACTATTTTAATAGATAACAATTATTTAATTAAAATTGAACATGGTTTCGAAATGTTTGGAAATTATTTATTTATCTGACTAATTTTTCATTTCAGCTATCGACTGTTCCTTCCACCTGACGGGGACTATGGTGCCAGAACTACAAACTCAACATGGACTGGTATGGTTGGCGAACTACTAGCTGGCGTAGGTTTGAAAATTTTTCGTTTATAACATCTTTCACTATAAAAGTGCTCATTTTCTTGAAACTGAACCAAAGCATTTGAAATCGAGTTGTATTACCAATAGAATTAGTGAACGTATTCAATAAATCCGAACTTGAAGCGAAGTATTTTCTTCACTGATTTTACAGAATACTTCAGTATTTAGTCCTTGAAACTTCCCTCTTAGCTGAGAGTAGCTAGTATCGGTTAATGTGCAAATAACTATCCCACGATCTAGGATAAAAATGTATCTGTTAAACTATGTGATGTAGCATCTTGGTGCACTATGTTTTATGTTCATTGATCAAGAGCAGTCTCATGTGACATTGATATTATCATCTGTCTTGTATTTCACAGTAGTTTGTATTCCTCAAAAATAATAATAAATGACGTTGAAAAATAAGATACTCGGCCTGTTTATCTAATGCGCTTTACACAAAAAAGCTTTCATGCATCTATAAATGTGACGTGACTGTGCATCCTGAGACAGTATAAGAAGTAGTGAATTGCGACAATCTTTCATCAGATAGCCGACTGAAAAGTATTTCGCATTGTCACCTAAGTTCTGGTGCAGTTTTTTGTTATGTGTGACTAGTTTGCCTGGGAGTCCGAGATCAGTCGAATGAAGGCGACCAAAACTGAAAAAAACAATGAACAGGAAGTGAAAGTGTGAACCAATATGTTTTGTCGTCATTTTAAAACGATACTGGTCTTCTCAGTTTCGGCCTTTCTCATAACTAATCGTACTCTTAAATCAAGTCGTCAATAATCCTCACCGTGACTTCGCTTACTTTTTCTTCTGCATTATTAAAAATGTGGTACAAAATCAATATCTTAATAAATGTTGGTGGCATAAATAAGTATACTGAATGTGATTCTTGCTTTTACCTCATCCGCTCTTTTGTGTAAACCTCTACCAGTTTTCCAGTGAACTTACATGAGTAAGTACCTTACTCAAAAGAAACTGCTGACGCAGGGAAATGGCTACAGAAACTAGGTTTCTATCTTCAAGAATTAACTAAAACTAGTTTTTATGTATACAACATAGGAAGTGTAAGTGTATTGTTTGTGTTCTATACATCTAAGCAAAAGTTTTCTGCTCATCAACTCCTGATAGATACACTGGCCACTATTTACTTTGTGCTTTCAAGATACCTAGATTTAAGCACGCTTATGCTTTGAGAAAAGTAGAGGAAAAACTCACTTCAAGTGTATTTCCAGTCATCTTGACACAATACACAGGCTAAGTAAAGTGTGGTTGAATTTTTGTATGTAGTTGTGCGTGCATAAAGTTTAATATATTTTATTCTCGTCCTCCCAGAGGACAGACATGAAGAAGTGAGGTGCGGATGCAGAGGATGCTTGTCGTCAGATAAAACCGTTTTAGCCAGATGTCTGCAGGAGTTCAGATGCCTGTCAGTGCGGTTAGTAGTTTACCACTTGCTGTACTGACAGCCTTCAAAATCCACAACGTAGTGTATTTTCTGGGGTCTAGGAAAGAACAAGGGGGAACAATAAGTAAGTACAGACAAAAGACATGAATTAGTGAGACTTAAGAATAGAGTCTGAGTTATTTTATATGAAAGGTCAAGTGAGGGATTTTCCTGGAAGTCAGTAAGATATGAGGGAACCAAGAAAGGTCAAAAGAGAGGTAGAGGTCAGAATGGATCACGCTCGATACATTCTCTATCTAGATGACAAGAGTCAAGGGAGTGAAGCGACGTAGAAATGTATTTCACGTCCTAAGCTAAAATTGCCCAACTGACGTTTGGAAGGATTGGGTGCGAGGCTGTTTAAAGAAGACTAGTGAGCAATTTAGGCTGACAAGTTACTAAACTGAGAACAGTTTAAAGGGATGATCGGCATGGATACTGTCAAGTCAACTCTGTACAAGGTCAGCTTCAGATGAGATTGTTAAGTGATTCAAAATGAAAGAGAAAAGAATAAGAGAGAGAAAAGCACCTTGAGGCATATCTGGTTCACTGAGCAGCGAAATAGAGCACTTCTTTCTGTACGGAGTGTACTGTCTTCTTTCAGTAGAATTGGAATCAAGCCATTTTGCAATCCAGGGCTGATTGTGAGTTCTGGCAATCTTGTTTAATAAGAGTGGTATAGGGACAGAGTCTAAGGCAAAAGTATAACCTAAGAAAGCAGGTCTAACATACTGAGAACCGTTGTCCAGATTTGCAACGATATTATTTAAGACAACTGGAGCATCTAAGATACTCCTTCTGGGTTTGTAGGCAAATTGATTTGGATATCTGAAAGCCTGTAAAGGAGGCAGGTTCAGGCACACGAGGCAACAATTTTTCCATTGTTTTTAGGAATAGCGAGGTTATTGCGATCGGTGGAAACTTTACTTTTACTCCAGAAGACGTGTACTCAGGGTACCGGAATTATTTTCATTTCCTTTCAGGTGGTTGATACTTCATTTTTGGTAAAGGACTGAAAGTGACCAAACATGAAACTGAAGATTTCAAACTTTCACTGAACACAAGTGAAATAACTGAATAGTGATCGTAAATGTTTAGTAACCACTTTCTTGATTGTCAACAATGTCTTCATTTCTTTTCTAGAAAACTGACATCGTAGCAGCACCCCTCTCTATAAATAAGGAGCGGTCAGCATTTGTTTATTATGTTGGACCATTTATAGAAGATACACTGGGAATCTTAATAAAAGCTCCTGATCAAAATCAAGAACTGTTTCAAATGTTTTTGCCTTTTCGTTATGATATATGGTTATGCTTGATTGGTTCAGTATTCATTTCAGCCTTGGCAATCACTTTATTTAGTATTATAAGTCCATTTAGTGCATGGAATTTAGCCTTACCCGGAGCGACATCAGATGAAGTTTCAATATATCATAGCATCTGGTTTACAGTTGGTGGTATGCTAATGCAGGGTAAGTTTATAAGTAGGAAGATTACACTACATGTACGTTGTCTGTGTATTGTATGTTAGTAAAACCAGCCTGCGTCTGATGCCATGAGTGAATGTATTAAGCTACATTTTCATGTCCCTTTAACAATTATCTCTTCAACAAAACAAGGAAACTTATTATCACATATTTCTAAGGATTTTTGAGATCTTAATCATCAACATTTATTTAAGCGCTAGTTACAACAGTTATTCATCAGATATGCGAATGAAATAGTACCGACATCTGATGACGCATGAATATCTGCAAATACGTTCAACGAAACTGAATGTTCTACATATTTCACACAGACAGAGATTAGATTTTATGCTTCAGAAATTTAGTGGTGCATTAAATGTTACTGATTGTCATGAAAATTAACCAAATATAATTCAGTGAGAAAAATTTTATTTCCGACGAATCATTTTCTGAAGCTCTACATTCGTATTCACAGTTACAAAAAAACATAGGTCCATCAATGGCTAACGGGTCAATAGAAGGTACGTCCAATTTCTAATTTCGTCTTGGTCATAATCTCCCTAAGATATTTTATTTATTTCATTTTACTTATCGACATTATTGTTTTTACTCCCTTTCCATACTTTGTAATTGTTGACTTCATGACGACTGTCCCATTTTTCTATCACTTCATAGACTATTACATAGTCTATTTGAGGTTAATGGGGATTTCACTTTTAAGGTAGTAATCATTATGGACTGATATCATTTGGAAGCATTGAACAGCAGCAATAACCCTGTATTGATATTTCAGCCATAACCTTGTTATCCAATAAACAGTTTTGATGATCTTGTTTTGACCCTTTAGCCATTGATGAATATACATATTGTTTGTATTATGAATACGAGTGCACGTCTTCTGAAAATGATTTGTTGGAAATAAAATTTTCTTCCTTGAACTGCCTTTTGTTATTGACAGTGATGTGAAATTCTTTCCTGTTTCCATAATCGCTGTAACGGTGTATGAAATTTTTATTGCCCTAAAGAAGTAAAATTACCATTAAATTATTATTCGCTGGATATTGGTTTCTTTTCTCCTAAAAATCGAACGGTTATATCGTTCAGTATACATCATGATGATCTTCAGTCGGCTTTGTTTTTTGAGTCTCGAGTAAGAATTACTTCTTGAAGTAGCTATTTTAGATTTTTTAAATGGGTTTAAAACTGGCCTTGTCCGAAATATGTTGCCTTCCTTTAGCAGCCTAGAGATGTCGATGATATTTTGAATCCAAGCTTTTCATCAACTAACTTGCAGCAATTTTTCCTAATGGGGAAATATGTAATAGAGACTGTCCGCAAAATAGACAGCTATAGACACTAAGACCATCTGAAATTACAGTTTTCATAGTGAATCAGACATAATCAACTACTGCTTCTGAAGACTTCTAAACTGCAACTTGACAGGTCCCCATTATTTAACTGCATTCAATTATTTTTCAATTAATGATGAATACTGTGACTGAGAAAAGCCAGAAAATACCTAGCTAATTTAACGTACTTATTCCTACAGGACAAGAACTACGTGCCATCGCTTTCTCAGCAAGAACAGTAACACTTTTATATTGGCTTCTGGTTTTGGTAATTCAAGCCACCTGGCAAGCTGATTTGACAGCTTATCTCACTAGGAATACTGTACATAATCCTGTATCGTCATTGGAGGATCTTGCAATGTCTGGATACTCAGTAGCTGCTAGACAAAACAGTAATGTAGTTAAACTATTTGAGGTATGTTTCCGCTGAAATCTTTTTTGCAAGAAATACTTGGTTCCGCCTACGTTTATAGGTTTTTAAGAAACTCAAAGTTAATTTCAGATTTACAATCCACTAAGCAAATTGAACTACTCCTTAAAATGACCTTATCATGTTATTTTCAGCTGTCAGGTTAACTTTCATATTAAACATGTGGTTCAAGCCATATATTTCGTAAAACATTTTCGAACAAATCAAGTTATGTGTACCTTGAATATCGAAGTAGTAGCTTTGTGTAATTTCTAACCTTTGCACAATTATTATATATCAGGTATTGATTGTGCCATATAGGTATAACAGTCATGAATAAATTATGCTGAAACTCATCAAGGACAAAGCTCAACTGGGTAGGTAAACATACTTCATTTTATATTCAGACTAGTGAACGAGTTTTAAGAAGGCTAATCAAAATATTCAACATTAGGAGAAGTGGGCCTCGGGTTCATGCTGTCTAGAAATCATCAATGGATAAAGTCTTAATTCCTCAGAGATTTTGACCAAAGTCAATGTCAGAAATTTTATCAATAAGCCATGACCGATTGAATTTAAAACCAAATTACTTGCATGAATTATATTTTGAGAATGGTGATGGGTACAGTTGTGATATCCTAACTGTAAGCTGCAGTTTGTCGATCAGGTTTGTAGTGCGTGCCCTCAACTAAGTGACTTGAGGCTAATGTTTGCATAGCGAACTTTGTCTCACAATAAGAGATGATAGTTCCATAGGCTATCATTCATGAGACAGCTCGTACCTGTGATGTATTTCAGACTATCCACTCACTTTATGTGCACTTTCTGCAAGATATGCTGATCAGTTATCTTTTTTAACAATTCATACTTGTCTTATGTTGTCATTACTACAGACAATATCTCTCTGAACCCTTTTTTTCAGAGTGCAACCAGGAGTTTAATTTACTCAATGATTTATGAAAAAATTATCGAAAATCCCACTGAAATAAATAGTCTAGAAAACGGCATAGACTTTGTACGAAATAATACAAATAATATGTTTCTGGGCAACAGGATAACATTACTGAATTATCCTTATAATGAAGGAGATGCTTTTGAAGTTGTTGATGTTAGTGATGTTGTGCTGCCAGTTTCATTTGCAGTAAGATTAAATGAACAGTATGCTAGTCTGATGCTCAGCTTGTAAGCAACTTTTTCCTTCTCCATAAACTTTTTCTTCTTATTTTGTCTCACAATCCTTTAGCATAAGTCACTGAATTATGAAAGAGAAGATGGCTAATTGTAAGCTCAAAAAGTCTTCATCACTGTTTTACTGTATTCCTAGAGTGAAATAAATCATGCTCACTTTGAATTCCAAGTCTTTGTTGTTCGAAGACGCAAAGAAAGATCTCATTATTATTATTTTAAAGCATGAGTTAACTACTATATGATTATTTTTAATGGAGTGTATAATATGAAAGTGAAAGATGTATTCATGTTCCTAGTCCTTAATGATGATCAAAACTCAGTGACCCTAGAGTTTGAATTGACAACCGAAGCATGTAATAATAGACCTTCACAATTAACTTTTGCCTATTGATTACATCCATACATATTGAGACTAAGACTTCTTACTGTTTAGTTGAACATTTAAAAATGGAGGTGTATTCCATAGATATATCGGTGATGATGCGTTGAATAAATAACTGAAGCTAAGTTTCGCCTGTCTTCCAATCAATTTCTGCACTTATAGTGAACATGCAACTTGATTTGTTTCGAATCTTCTTATCAGATATTCATCTCAGACTGAGTTTAATATGAAAGCTTATTACAAAAGCTGCGTCATGTATATATATATATATATATATATATATATATATATTAAGTGTCTGTAACTGCTTGTATGTATGCACTTGTGAATAACCGTATATAAGTTCTGGATAAAGTGATTTGAGTTATGTGGTTATGAACATTGTCCAAAAACATCACTGTGCGTTCATTGATTAGTCACTGCAGAGCAGCCAATTTCATTTTTTCAGGTCTTGAATGCTGGCGGAATCCCATACGTTATTTTGCTGTGTCGTTACCAACCTGAAAGGCTCTCTAACTCGATGCTTTTTGACGGATGTTAGGTGGTTGGAGGCAACTGGCAAGAATCACTTCCTCTAGGTTTCGGGGATGCTGGTAGGCATCAACCAGGCATCTCTGCATCCTTTTGGGAATTGATCTCCTCCCTGAAATCTGAACCCATTTCACCTAGTGCTGCAGTCAGCGACATTGCTAATGAGCTATTCGGGTCCAACAGACTAACACTGTTGATTGCTTCAGTGTTAATTCCTGTGGATCATTTCTATTGAATACTAATGGTGACTACTTACTCATAGTCCTAGTTTGAAACAGTACAAAATCTAGAGATTGTTCGGATGATCGGTATTGGTTTTAAAGTCAATTGTTAAGTTTGTAACCAACTGAAACATTGAATTATTCATGCTTTGTCACAGGTTAGTTCTTTAATTACTGACGTTCACATGAAAATTGTCACTGTTAAATCTCTAACAAACAGAATGAAAATGTGTGTATAGACATCTCTTTCTCAGCCTACTTCCAAGTCATATAGCATTTAAAATCCTATAGTCAGCACACAATCACACAAACTATTCACGAGTATAACCCCAAAGAAAGCAACAGCTAAAATGGGTTCATGCAGCGCTGAATAAAAAAAATCGTGCCATTTGTGATATGGTTTGAATATTAGAAACCTAAATATTTGGTTTGAGCAATAAACTACTTTGAAAATATAGCCCTAGCAGAGGTTAAGTACAAGTTGTGAACTTGTTGTACACACTTTTATCACAACTTCAAGTCAGTCTCTTGTTGTGTAAACATGAGACCTCGATGAGTCAGAAAGCTGGCAAAACGCAAAGCAATTAGGCTGCTGATTGATTAAGTGAACCTTCACAACAAAGTAATGCTATCTTTCCTTTTTCACCTACAAATAGCAATTCATCGATGATATTTAATATTCAAGTTAGTTCTGGACATAGTTTATTGCAAAAAGATGATCTAAAAGTGTACGAATTGCGTGTTTGTTATTCTGCCAGTTACTTAACGTATGAAGCTTGAAAATCAGAGAAAAAGTAGTTTGGATATGCTAAAGTTTAACTAAACCTTTTTTTAAAAGGTGTCAGTGAGTCTCATGCACAGAGGTTTGCTGATCTAGTTATGCATAACAATAAACTCCGAATTTTTAGCGCGATACGACATCAACTTAATAGAACAGTGGACGTAGCTTTAATAACGGTAATTGTTTCAAAATGTGGATTGATATCAAAGCTCACTTACTTTTACACCTACACTTCAAAACTAGTTTTCCTGCGGCGGAAGTGGAGCACAGCATCTCATACACTTTTCAATAGGGTTTCTAATGTCATGCAGAATATTGCTAGACTATTGAGGGGGAAAATTTATTTTAATGACAGTTAATGGGATTTGTAAATGTTGCTTATTGTGGTGAATACTGGGGGAGTTACAAACACTTGTTTACTTTCTCCAATTTAGCATGTCAACGCTTAGAGAAAAAGGAGTTATCGATCATCTGATTGACAAATGGGATGTTGAGAAGAGGCGAACAGTCGAAAATTCAGCTACTTTCAATTTGGTGAATCTTCGCAATATATCTGGTGCATTTATAGTACTTGCCGTATTCATTGTGAGTAGTCTGATAGCCTTACTTCTGGAAAGAATTTGGCACAAACGTTCACTGGAAAAGGAAAAACTCCATCCAAAGTCCAAAAAGCATGATGAAGGTCATTCCAACCTATGGAGACGTTTTACAAATCCTTCAGTCAAGTTACCAGAGCCCAAATTGGATTTATCTCGCAGCCTCACATTACAACATCTGAAGTATGCGGGACACAGGAGGGCATCAGCAGCTTTCGACGCAACAGTAATTGCAGCCGACCATCATACTAAATCAAATTTAGATTAGGTCGTGGGATTTTCAAATTGCTCCGTGCAACGGCTTAACTGGAATGGAAACGATGAAACAATTGAATGAAGGTATTATATTAGATCATAACACACTTATTTTAGTACTAAAATACACTAGTTCAGCTTTACAAAAAACAGAAGAAAAAGCTAAATAAATATTAATTAGCACCATTTTTGTCATCTCATGTATTGTTAGTTCACAGACAATATGACAAATACTTATTTACTTTTAGATTCATTCATTGATATATATATATATATATATATATATATATATATATATATATATATATATATATATGAATTTAAAATCACTGCGGGATACGAAGAATTTGAGTTTTTGATGATGTTTTTTCACTGAGTTGGGTGGTTTAATCATGAAGCTTTTGTTGTCTAGAACGACAACGAAAGGTTCACGATTAAACCATCCAACTCAGAGAAAAAAGCATCAAAATCATCCTCCTGAACCACAAGTCAAGAAATTTTACGAGAAAAATTTGAATTTTTTAGGGAAAAGGTAAACAGTTCATATTCATAAAGCTTTCAGGAGATCTGTTGAGTGACTTCTGATTTTAAGTGGTTCTTTAAATGATAAAAATGGGAACCGATTAAATTTGGTATCTTAGGACATTAACTTCATTAGAGTAGGAATTCTTTTGAAAGCATACTCTTCTTCAATCATTCTTCCAAAGACAGGATCGATAACACTTTCTACAAGAAATCACTTTTAGCAAATACTTCTGCAGGATACTATCGTTCACAAGAAACCTTTAATAATGGATAGTCGTTTTTAGCGTTGTCCTGAATTAAATCAACACCTGTGATGCCTGATTATGACTAAGGGACTAGTAAATTCGTTGGATTATAGTGAAAGCATACATTAACTAATTTTGCGCGTACAAATTCCACACGAATAATGATATAATTATTCCTTTTTTTATGATATTGCGCTTAAAGTGCTCATGTAGAGAACATTTCATCCTATGAAATTCTGAGAATTATTTGTAATGCATCATAGATGTACTGTTTTCTCACTGAAATTCTAAAAATGTAACCTTTTCAAATTTTACATGAAGATTCGATATTCATATTGTTTGAACTGTGGAAATATGCCTTATAGTTTGTCAGTAGGATTTAGACTTTATAGGCTGAATTTGTCTGGAGACATCTCTCATGAGGTTTCCTACAAATAAGTAAAATGCACATTCAGTGTTAAGATCATGCAAATTAGACTGACACTTTCTAACTATTCATGTTATTCAGTAGTATATTCCTATGTCATGTTGTTTTCAATAGTCTCCTTCTGTAGTATAAAGCTCTTACGAAATACTAGGTTGTCATTTGCTTCGTTATTATTCCTAAAGATTCTGACATTACCGTGGATGAGGTCCTTGGTATTTTAGAAAGTATTAGCGGGAGACTTTCCATGTTAATAAGAAAACACTATCATAGTAGTACACATTTATTACCTCTTCGTCATTTTCAAAATTTAGAATCTATTTCGATCTAAGTTTACTAATTTTCTCTCTTCTCAGAAACCGTATTTGCCTTAAGATAATTTTTTCTTTCAACTTCTTCATGAGACGTTATTAGGCTTAGTATATTGAGGTGGTGTACTAGTACGCAAGTTTCTGTGTTTATATTTTTGTCTTATTATTGCATAAAGTGCATTTTAACTTGTGTAATCCTATCGTAGCACATCTGAACAAAAAACAAAATAAATAAATATTTTGTATTATTTTTCAATGGATCGTTCTGGCTAGGAAGATCATTTTCAAGAATATGTATCTGATATTAAGTTTGAGCTACTTTAAGGTCTGCCCTAGCAACAGCTGGGACAACAAGTTAGAGCGACTTTAAAGGCACCCTAGAAACTTATGAGACGGCCAATTACATTCGTTTATTTTATGAAAAGCACTGGCAAAATACCAAGGCCTGATTGGACCTTTAAAGTCACTCTTAAAGTCCTCTCCAAAGTCACCCCAAACTTAAGTTCTCCCCCGGCAACGATTGAAATAGCCAATGAGGTTTGTCTATTTCGGCTGGAAGGGCAGATTCTAATGGTATAATATAAAGAAGTTTTGTATTTTTGAGATGAATGGGGATTTTTAATTTAGAAGTAGTATTCATCATGGACTGACATCAGTTGGGGAACATTACTCTACAGTGCTCATTAGTGACTTGCTTCCAGATGGGTGTCAGGAAGTTCTAATGAGAAGCCGTGACCTGTGGGGTCAACCAGTCGGAAGTGAAGTGGATGCTAACTGAAGACCTTGGGTGACAGTCGCGCTATGTCGTGAATTGACAGAAGTTGGAAATTGTGAACCACTGGAAACCGACCCAGTGGCTGAATGGTAAACGCGTTCACCGTGAAACCTGAAGGTCCTGAGTTTAACCCTAGCCAAGTCATGGGTGCGTACTGTTGAGGAGTCCCATACTAAGATGAAACAACTGTCCAGTGCTCCCAGATTTGAGCACTGTAGAGTAATGTTCCCCAACTGATGTCAGTCCATGATGAATACTACTTCTAAATAAAGAAGTTTAATCAGTGATTCCAATTGTTGCTGCGACTGTTACAATGTGCTTACCCTGAGAGCCGCCCGAGCAACTGGCGAAACAAACAATCACACTTCTCTATTCTGTAAAAACTGTTTTCCCAACAAATATGCCAAATCTGATTGGTTACTTTGGCAGCTGCTAGGGTACCCTTCAAAATCAGGATTAAAAGTGCATGTAAAGCTGCCTTTAAGCTTTGGGTGACTTTATAGGCCACCGTAGCAACTGCCGACGTAACCAATCAGATTTCGGTATTCTGGACAGAAAGGTAGTTTTTCATAAAATATAGAAGCCTGACTGGTTATCTCAGCAGTTGCTAGGATGTCCTTTAAAGTCACTCTAAGTTTTCAGGTAAGTATTTAAGTTTGTTACAGAAGGTGACCCTAATGACCATCCATCTGGATCATGATAAGGAACAATGATTAGTATAAAGTAGGTAAGTGAATTAGCAGATAGGCTAGAGTGGCTTATTCCACTTGTACTAAGTAAGGTAGGACCAAAAGAAGGTGGAGAAATTTAGTTTGACCACGTAAAATACAATGGAGTTTAGTGATCGGTGGGGAATACAAATAAATTACCATTTTGGAAAGATGAATATTTGAAAATCAAACAATATATAATAATAATAATTTCTTGAAACTCGTATAATTAGAAATACTGACAGATAATTTATGAATGTACACCATGTTAGTTGTAATGCGATTACAGAGAAACTACAAAATGATATGATAACAGTTGAAGTATGAGTGGCAACCAAATGGACCATGTCATACATAATGGTTCACAGAATGAATATTACTCGGAAAGGAGCGTAAAATTGATGAATATCGTAAACCAATAGAGTATTATGTAACAGGATTACACAAATTGGTAAAATGAAACCAATGTTTTGAAATAGTGGAGAATATTTGTAGCTCAGGTGGATGATTTTGGTTTTATTGTGTTCTCTGAGCTGGGTTGTTTAATCGTGAAGTTTCCATCGTCTTGCTAGACGACATTATCAGCACTAACTTCAGTATGAAGTGAGCTGTCAATATCTTACCGTGAGTGATTTAGTAGCTTGCCTTGATGAAGTGGTTTGTGATTGGTTGTTTCCTTTAATTGTTGTGTCATTGACTGTGTAGATTTTCCTGTTGGCTGTCTCTCTACTTGACTTCTGACCTTTCTGTCGTTTATCATTTTTCTTATTGGTTGATGGATTGGGTTTATGTCTATACATCTATTGATTGCTGACTGACCTGAGTGTCAAGCTTCTAGGAATTCTCTGATATTTTTTATGTTTCTACGTTGTGGAAATTGAATTCATATCCATAATTATCCACATGCATTGAAATGAGTGATGAAATGTCATGATGTTTAGTAGCTAATTGGTGTTCATGTAGACGAAGGCAAAGAGGGTGACCACTTTGCCCAATGTAGTGTTGACTAAAGTTATTGCAGTTGATTTATAAATGATATTCGGTTTTTCATCGTTATTTTAGACGATATAATCAGCACAAACTTCAGAAAGATTACTAGATTATACGATTACGAAATGTCAAAAGGCAATTGGCAACCAAAAGAGAGAGCTTGAAGGATACTCACAACAAAACGCTTTTAAAAACCACGTAAAGGAAACAAACAGAGAAGAAAGAACTTTCAAGATTTTAAAACCACGAGCATCAGAAGGGGAAGAAACCAGTGACTGCTTAGTCAGTTGTCCTAACAACTTCTGATCGAATCCGAGGCACGGGTGCTACATAAAGGACTAAATTATGATACAGGAGACGTTTCAGGACCAGAATTCTTCTTATCCTTAGACTCATCACTGAAAACTTCAGAGATCCGACAGGAAATAAGACAAGTGATCGTACATCTGACCAGGAGAAAGTATAACTGTGCTCAACTAACCAGTGAAGAACAGAGTTCTTAAGAAACCGAAGAATAAAAGGGGCGTCGTTATGATTGCAGCTGACACAGGGTGCACCATGGTTGTCGTAGATAAAGATAAATACATCCAAAAGGAAAAAAACTTACTCATGAACCGAAATGTATATTAACCAATGGATACAAATCCCATTCAGAAGCTTGATAGTCAAGTCACCAAGACATCGAACAAATTCGTCAAAGTAGGACAAATTACAAAACAAGACCAATGGTGAATGAAATTCAATAGACTTATTCTCCCACGTTTCTATGTTGACGAAAAATGCACAAACCATGCATCCCACTACGACCAAGTGTTTCACTTCCAGGAACGCCGACATACAATCTTTCAGAAGGTCTCTTCAAAAAATTAAAACATCTGGTAAAATTACGCCACCACTCTATCAAATTTCTGACACAATTTTTGGCAAAGACCAAGCATATTCCTATTGATAACGATGAACTGACGGAGTCTTTTGACGTCACAGCTCTATTCACCCCAACTGAACTGAAACTGCCCAAGGATAGAACGGCTCTTCTCCTCGCCGATAATATACACCTCTCAGAATACACACAACTACAATGTTCACGTTTAATAGAGATAACTGATTTATGCCCCACAACATATTTTCA